CCTAGTCTCGGAGCAGTTTATACTCTATAGAATATATTATTTAAAGGATACAAGTTAAAACATCGTAAGATAGTGAAGTCTGATATTTTAAACAATCTACAACTGGTCCAATAAAATTATCGTATCTCTGAATCTGAGATAAAACCTGAAACAAACAATAAAATTAAAATAAAAATAAAATTCTGTTCTTTATTTCTAATCCTGATTAAATTGTATCTACCAATTATCCACAGAGCACTTTGATTTTTTTCTAACATAAATGTTTTTTTCCTTGTCAATCTTTCAAGTTGAATAACTGACAAGATAGAAACAAGAATTCTGAGGAACACTGTAGCTAGAAAATATAGATGCTTTGCCATGTTAAAAAGGGAAGAATTGAATACACCAGATAGAGCCAAATCATTATTTATTTTTACATGGGAAACAATGATTGAGTCTTGGTAACTAATGTTTAGAGTTTTACATCTACTGTAAAATCATACAAGAGAATGCATAAATAGAATTAGCTGAATGTTTGGTAAAAATATTCTATAATACTACTTACAAATTCAAAGACAATGGCAGGATTACTATGACACAGTTTTCCCAACTGTCTTCCTGATTGTTTTACATTTTCCTTGGCCAGACGTCTACAAAAACAACAACATAGACAGATTTTATTTTACAAGTTTTCTTGAGGTAACATTTAAGATAATATTGAACTTTTTCTCGAAAATGGCATCAAACACTGCTATTATACTCGCAGAATACTGTCAGTATACCAAGCAATCTGTTAGCTAGTTAGATACGAATGTTTGTATGTTCTAGACCCATTCTGACCACAGAAAACTATCATTGTACCAAGCAATCTGTTAGCTAGTTAGACACGATAGTTTGGTATGTTCTAGTCCCCTTCTGACCACAGAAAACGGTCATTATCCCAAGCAATTTGTTAGCTAGTTGGACACGATAGTCTGGTATGTTCTAGTCCCCTTCTGACCACAGAAAACTGTCAGTATACCAAGCAATCTGGTAGCTAGTTGGACATGATAGTCTGGTATGATCTAGTCCCCTTCTGACCACAGAAAACTGTCATTGTACCAAGCAATCTGCTAGCTAGTTGGACACGATAGTTTGGTATGTTCTAGTCCCCTTCTGACCACAGAAAACTGTCATTGTACCAAGCAATCTGCTAGCTAGTTGGACACGATAGTTTGGTATGATCTAGTCCCCTTCTGACCACAGAAAACTGTCATTGTACCAAGCAATCTGCTAGCTAGTTGGACAAGATAGTTTGGTATGATCTAGTCCCCTTCTGACCACAGAAAACTGTCATTGTACCAAGCAATCTGCTAGCTAGTTGGACATGATAGTCTGGTATGTTCTAGTCCCCTTCTGACCACAGAAAACTGTCATTGTACCAAGCAATCTGCTAGCTAGTTGGACACGCTAGTTTGGTATGTTCTAGTCCCCTTCTGACCACAGAAAACTGTCATTGTACCAAGCAATCTGCTAGCTAGTTGGACACGATAGTTTGGTATGATCTAGTCCCCTTCTGACCACAGAAAACTGTCATTGTACCAAGCAATCTGCTAGCTAGTTGGACAAGATAGTTTGGTATGATCTAGTCCCCTTCTGACCACAGAAAACTGTCATTGTACCAAGCAATCTGCTAGCTAGTTGGACACGATAGTTTGGTATGTTCTAGTCCCATTCAGACTACAGAATACTGTCATTGTACCAAGCAATCTGTTAGCTAGTTTGACACAATAGTTTGGTATGTTCTAGTCCCATTCTGACTACAGAAAACTGTCAGTATACCAAGCAATCTGTTAGCTAGTTAGACATGATAGTCTGGTATGTTCTAGTATTATTATTACTGTACTTACTTCATGATATATTTAGTTTTTTCAAGACAATCAGCTTTAGATCGAACTAGACAGGATTGTTGAGAATAGAGTTCATTCTTCCATCTACCATATAGCCGATATCTAAAATATACAGGGTATAAAATATATTATTCATCGTAGTTTAATCATTCTTAAAATAGAGAATGTGGAACTTGTTATTTTACTTTATCACGTTGCCACACCTTCAACAACAAAGGACCCTCTTTCTCAAAGTATCCTAGATTAATACACAAGCTTTAACATGATGAATTAACTACTTGATAACGTCAAAAATAACTATTTTCTTCACTTAAAGTGTTGTAAGAACTTTTGAGAAACAGGGTCCTCGGACCTTTTTCTGGAAAACTTAACTTAGGATGATTTTAGTGTTTCAATCATCTGATTGGTCAATTACTAAAATTGATTTAAAACTTAAATTCAGTTGTGTTGTCCAATCAGATTACTGTATTTCTTAAAATCTGGATTTTTATCCTATTCAAGTTTTCGAACACAAGGCCCCTGATCTAATTAAAGGAGTGTACCATTGATATCTTTATGCATTTATTGGCAAAAAAATAAGTCAACAATTCTGTATGTAATATAGATATAAAGTCAGAGGTGCTGGGAATAGTTCAGATTGAGAGATCTCTCCACTGTATCCTGTTTTATAAAATATAAACTCAAATGTTAACAAAATTACATCTATCTTCCGTTTTCTGCATGTGATTAAAACTTTACATACCTGATTTCATAAGGGTAAAGTTTAAGTAAAGACCAGAGTTCCTCTGATAATGAACAGTTACTAGTTAATAAAGACAGGCTGGGGAATATCACACAATCTAGAATATTGAGGAAACCATAATACGCTATATCATCTGATACTTTCACTTCTTTATTATTCCTCTATAATAAAAAACAACATCATTTAGTTATTTTAGTTCATTTACCAACAATGTTAATGATAAGATACAATCAGGTTTACTTTAAATTAGGGCTTTCAGCATAAAGGACATTTATAATAGGTATTAGGGGATGACTCTCGAAAGCACTGGCACAGGCATCTGAATTTTTTTCTACCTTGTTATTGAAGAGATTAAATTGGATTGAAAGCAAGTAAATACAGCCAATCACAGTTAAGACAGAAATTTTGTAAACACCTAAAAAAATAATTATCATTCATTCTGTCGTGTATTTTATTCATACATGGGGGTAACACATGGATCATGTGATCAAAAGTAAATTGATGAATATTCATATTAATATAAACTCTGCCTACCTTAATCATATAAGTTTTACCGAGTCGAACTAGCTTCATAAATAAAACAGGATCAATAGAAGTATGAGCACCAAGATAATATAACATAGGGAAGGCAGTATCATATAATTCACGATATGATTGTACAGGAGATATACACAGTTGATCTATATTTACTTTCTTCTTACACAGCTGGGGTGGTAACATAGTGTTACTGAAATAAATACATACCTCTCTCATAACTATCACTTAATGCGTTCAGGAGTACAACTGTACTTAATTTTACAGACTGTCAAATAAAATTACACCAAACTTTCGTTCTGTTTTTATTACTTTTTATTCATTATATAACCACTTCACTTAGGGTCTAACAACAGCCCTCTTTAACCTTTTGACTTAACTCAATGGTGTCTGCTTTAACCAATCAATTGTCGGTAAATGAGGGCAAACTAACTGAAGTAGCTGTTTCAAAAATAAAATAAAAGCTAATGGAAAAAGGGAACGAATTTTTGGTGTAATTTTAATTTAATTTTATAGGGATGAGTTGGCAATGTTCTGTTACTGGAGTAAAAACTCTCGACATATATCATTAATAATACAATAGTTTTTAAAACAGTTACTGACTTTTACACAGTTGACATAGTAACATAGAGTTGGAATAACTATCAAATATTGCTAAAAACAAACACGAAGAAAGGGCCAAGACCTTTTGTACAGGTATCCACAATCCTGTTGTTTCATCCTATCATGTCTTCTAAACCAAAACCCAGGATGATTTGAATGGATTTTACAAGAAATATTTAATAAAAGGATAACTCTAAAGAATCACAAGATATATAGATATACTATTTCTGACATTTATTAACTCAACGTCTTTCACATGTTCATACAGACAGTGTTATCAAATATTATATAGAATCACTAGATATATAGATATACTATTTCTGACATTTATTAACTCAACATTTCACATGCTCATACAGACAGTGTTATCTAATATTATATAGAATCACAAGATATATAGATATACTATTTCTAACATTTATTAACTCAACGTTTCACATGTTCATACAGACAGTGTTATCAAATATTATATAGAATCACTAGATATATAGATATACTATTTCTGACATTTATTAACTCAACGTCTTTCACATGTTCATACAGACAGTGTTATCAAATATTATATAGAATCACTAGATATATAGATATACTATTTCTGACATTTATTAACTCAACATTTCACATGCTCATACAGACAGTGTTATCAAATATTATATAGAATCACTAGATATATAGATATACTATTTCTGACATTTATTAACTCAACATTTCACATGCTCATACAGACAGTGTTATCAAATATTATATAGAATCACTAGATATATAGATATACTATTTCTGACATTTATTAACTCAACATTTCACATGTTCATACAGACAGTGTTATCTAATATTATAAAGAATCACTAGATATATAGATATACTATTTCTGACATTTATTAACTCAACGTTTCACATGCTCATACAGACAGTGTTATCAAATATTATATAGAATCACTAGATATATAGATATACTATTTCTGACATTTATTAACTCAACATTTCACATGTTCATACAGACAGTGTTATCAAGAGAAGTGAATATTATAACAAGACTAACAATATATATAGTAAATAAATGAGTAACAATTAACAGTATAAAGGGACCACAGGATAACTCTAGTGTCTAGTAATCTGAATGGAAAAATTACCAACATGGATTTTAAGTCTAGCTTATTAACCAATCATAAAACAATGTCTTAAATTTGGAATCATGTTTTTTTGTGTAGTAAGATCCTGAGACAAACAATGTTGTCAATGACGCACGAACATGTGAACAAATTGAGAAAATCTCCACATAAATTGATAGATAAGTCTGCTTACCTTCTATAAAGAGGCTCTATAACTTGATGAACTAATGAACAGAGAGCTCTAGCTATAGGGGGATGAGATCCAGGGAAAAACTCAGGTAGTTTATCTAGAATACTCCTGGCATGTTCCCATACACCAATCTTTAATAACGCCACACAGATTCCTAGTTTCTGATTATTTTCTCTCTAAAACAACAAATAACATAATATTCAATGGTAAGAGGATTGAAGAAAGAACATACAACTATCTTATATACTTTTTCTTTAGGTGGCTAATGACAGGTTTTTTTCTTTCATTCCCTCATCAATTCTAGCCAAGCTGGAAGGGCTATATCGGAAGACAACCTAATGAAGACAGATAATGTCACACAGTCTGGTGTTTCAATCTTGAATAAGTCATCTTCACATATAATTCAATTCAACCCAGCTGTAAATGGGTACGGATAATCTGGGAAAGATCAATGCCTTAACTGTGAACCTAAGATGTTATCCTTGTAAAATATAGTAGTATTTATTCCTTTCTTTATTTTGTTATCTTTTGAACTGCTCCTTTCTCAAATTAATAGAGCCCTTTACCTTCCTCAACTTTACAGATAGTTTTAGTGTTTTTCTTTCATAACATTTAATCATACCAATTGCTTTTTTAGATAAATAAATCCTGCATCTTTCATAAATCAAATTGAGCCATGTCCCTTGTCTCCATAATCTTGTCTAGGGTTTCACGCTCCCTTTGTTTCTCCACTACTTGTTGTATTCTATTATCGTTAATAAAATTGAGCTCTATCTCAAAATGAATCTGATAAGACAGTGTTTTTATTAACTTACCAGATCAGTTTTAGTTAAATCTTCTTTATCCTTGTCTTCATCTTTCTTATCAGATAATATAACTAGATTCATTTTCTTAGCGTACGTTCTAGCATCACTTAATTCTGTCTTGTGAAAATCTACAATGGCACTGTCTTCTGGTAACAACTAAAAAACAAAGATAAAAAATACATTCTGATTTCCAGTTTAACTAAATAAGGTTCAATATTATCAGTTTTATAACACTCTCTGCTAGTAAAAACTAAAGAAAAATCAATTCCTATGACATACTGAAATTTCAGGTATTTTTTTCAGTTTTTTGGTTAACAAATCCCTACAAGTACTTACATGAGGATAAAGTTCGTTAAGGTCCAATAAATCATGTTTTAATAACAATGCTGTAACTTTATATAGAGATGATGGCGTCTCCATTCCCTGCGTCGGCTGAAAATATCATTTAAAATCTAAATTTCAATATCTTAATATACCTTCAATAGTGGAGCATAACAATATACATGTTAGGGCTCTCATTTAAAACCAAATATTAGGTGGTATTGTTCCAAAATAAAAAAAATACCATTGGTCAGAAAAATAGAGGAATTCTTCTAAATAGAAGAAGTTTTAATAACTTACCTCATAAAAATGAAATCTGAATCCCATAACCTGACAGAGGGTTGATTTATCAGTCATATAAGATCGTAATAACGGTACGTAGAAATCTTCAGACTCCAGATTACACTCGAACGCTTCTAACATAATATCTAATACACGGTTAGGATCTAAATCAAAACATCCTATAAAATATAACAATACAATCTACAGTCTGTCTATTTATAATATGTTAATATTGTCTGCTAGTGATATGATTGTGGTCTGAAAGGAAGTATGTAAAGAGTTATGTATGAGAGGAGGCAAGAGATGGCGAGAGTGAAGAAGAGGTTATGAGATTGGCGGGGTTTATTACTATGTTTATTAGTGAAATAAAAGTGTAAAAGACATTGTGTATTATCACTTTAACACAAACCCAATTTAATACCTTACATACATATATTTGTCAGAGCTCGGGAGATTACAGACTTTGACACTTTAACACTGATAACAATAAAACTCTCTAGTCTGAGATATCTCACTACCATCTATTTTATCTTACTTTTCAATGATTGGAGAAAAGATTTAATCATAATATATGTTGCTTACACTATACTCCTTCTTTAACTAATCTAGACCACTGTTGTTTTCTTATTGCTATACTGACAACATGGCCGAAATCTCGGAATCCTGATTGAGAGAGACCGATAATCAATCTTAATTTGGTAATCGATACCCTGCCCTAGTAATGACATGTATGAAACCCAATAATACTATACTGTATGTCGTGATTTTGTTCAATCAATACTAATATATTAATAGCTACTATCAGTTTATTTGGTATGAGGCTTTAGATGGAATGGTGGACCAGTTTATACTTAACACTTACCTATCAATGATTTGATGTTTTCTAGAACTTGTGTATATGTTATTTTATCTGTTATTTCTTGATTTAGTTCAGCTACCAGTTTAGAATAACCTTCACTTTCCTCTCGTAATAAATTAAACTTCTGTTGTTTATAGCTGAAATACGTGCACAGCTTTTATAATACTGGTGAAAAATCTTTAATGTTTCTGGTACTGTAGTTTTAAGTAGTTTTAAGGGAAACATCAGTGCAAAAATCAGATTTTGAGGGTATACATTACTTTTATTAGAATTGCTCATTTCATTTAGGATAAAAACATAGAAATTTCGATTTTCTTTAAAATCATAACTGAAATAAAGTTTCACGTCTCACTATTCTGCACACGTTTGGGAAATTGATCGACATCGGTGGCATCAGCCTCCTCTTTTGAGGGATCTTTAACATGCACAGCCTGCAGCACACATGGCCTGAGTCTACTGTCTTACTGCGGCCTGAATCACTGGCAGAGGATAACCAGGCTTAAAAACCTTGACTCATGCCTGTATTAAAAACAATTGTTCAGAAGAAAGACAATAGATACTTACTATAACCTGGTTTTAGTTTTAACATATCTCTGTTGAAATAGTTGTTTTGATTGTATTACATGTATAGCTTCTAACGTCTCTAGATCAAACCTTTCTTTCATCAATGGTTCAGTTATAAGAGACTGAAATTATAACATAAAATAATACAAGAACTGAAATACATGTATTTCAAAATACTACAGCATTATCAACTCTCTGCAACAAACTATTAATTGTCAGGACAAAATATAATATCAACATGAGCTACTGGTATTTTTAACTAGAATAAAAAAATTGACATATTCATACATATATAGTGACTCAGGTGTTCCAAAAGATAGAGCATTCCCTGCTATCAATTCCTCAAAAAGAGATGGTAAAGAGGTTTTCTAGAAAAAAATTGTGTATCAGGGACAATGAAAACATCAATTTGCACCATTCCAAGTTTCAATCAGACGTCTGTGGTTCCTACAATTCCACTTAAACTTAAGCATTTATGACGTCACTAATCGCTTTATCACATAAGGACTTCACGATTAGTGACATCATAAAACGTTTAGTTTAAGTGAAATTGCAGGAACTACAGACGTCTGATTGACTATGGGAATGGTGCAAATTGAATCTATCAGTGTTCCCGATACACATAAAAAAAAATTCAGAAAACCTCTTTACAGTCTCTTTAAAGATGTACAGAGAAACTTGTTCGTGTCCTTTGATGCAGTAGTTTATAAATACACGAAGATACAGATTCTAAAAAAAACTTACGCAGCAGGCAGCTAATAGAGATATGCATCTTTCTCTGGTTGTTTTATCGTCATGGCAACTCGTTTCCACATCTGTAAGAATTGGGTAATATACCCCAGGGTAAAACAAAAATAACAGAAAAAAAAAGAAAACCAAAAAATATATGAAAATACAATCCTACGAATGTACAATTCATAACATTTTATCCAATTTTTATCAGAAGTGTGTTTGAAAACTCATATTTCCTGTTGAATCTATTTCAGCTACACATTTCTTCAAATGGACAATAAACAAAACTTAATCTTTAGAAATATTTTAGTTTTCAAATTTCAAATCATTTTTGTTGAATCTGTGAGAAACTAAGCGTAAGTTTGTTTTAAATGGACATTAGCTTTGTCATTAAAAATATTAATTTGTCTGAGCGGATGTTTGAAATATTGTATTATTATCTTTATCTTTATCATTAGATCACATTTACTAGAGGACCGACAGTTTCATCTTTTTACTGTTTTATTAAATAACTCATTTATATTCATAGAGATATTAATCTTTTCTTTTTTTTTTTCATTACGATGGACAATTAACTAAATTATTTTAAAATTAAATCCAGGGAAATTTGTTGTATGATGATTTGTGTTATTACTGGTCAGATTTGGTAATGTTTGGTATTGGAGAATTCAGAAGCATCTGGTACATCATCCGTTATCAACGATCTATCAATGATCTGGACAAGGGTGGGTGGATTGGTAAGGAATGGATGGTTCAAGACTCAAGAAAGATAGGTAGGTTATCTAGAGGTGCCTTCATTCTGAACTTCCTTCACTGATGATTCAAGCATACCAGAATAGGTAATAAAACCATGATGAACTAAGTGATCTGGTCCACAATCATTTTACAAGAGATGTAGAGAGAAGATAAAGATTTGCTCGGAATAACTTCAGAGTGGACAGACAGAAAAGAATGCAAATCTTCCCATTGAATATAGCATATCCTTCTGCAGTTTGGTACCAAAACATAATTCAGAATTTTAAATCCAAAGCTTACTTCCATTATGAAGAGGAATTCAAAATTTTATAAAGTTCCATCACTATCTAGCTAATTTTACTTATCATTTGATTTTTTTATAAACGAATTTAAATAGCCAAAATAACACACAGAAACAAAGTCTTTAATCTAATTCTCATTCAGAGTTCTTTCTATAAAACAGTCCTAAACTTCACTGAAATTTGAGAATTCAGGGCAATATGACCAACATATAAATTGTGTCCTAACTAATCAAGCACTTTTCAAGAATTTGTAATAATGTTCCTCATTCACATGATTCGATCCAAAGATTTCAACATTTTCAACAGTCTTATTTCAATTTTTCACCTTTTTTAAGAACTCGTTGAATTTTATATCAAATGCCAAAATAATATTTAGAATACGAATTAAATTTTCAAATTGGTGGTTCACATATCCACATTACTTCTGTAATCCAATTTAACTACAACCAGAACTCAATCTCCATTCTTGCAGAAGATCTTTTCCACTTCTTGGTGAAATCAGGCAGAATTTGATGATACAAATCCAAAGATATATACCACATAAAAAAACCTGTAACCACAATACACGATTAGAATAATAAGAGTCTAAAACATTGAGAATTGAAAGAATTGAAAAAGGTATCAACCATTACCAAGAATTGACAAAACGTCGGCCACAACAGAGCTGATTCCTTTAACATGATCCTGAAAAATTCAAAAAAAACACAATAAGAAGAAATTCCTAAGCTTTCACTTTGAAATCCATTACCACATTATATATTCACTATTTTTGGCATATGACATGGTTAGAAATATAAACTTATTACCACCATTGAAACAATCGCTTTGCATTTCTGAATTAATTGTTTATCTTGTAAATCTCTCCAGAAGTAGGTAATTTTCTATCAAATTGATGTATTCCAATGCTGAAATCCACAGTCCCTACTTGTGACCTTGGCCAATGCTTCTATAACAGAGTATCTCTTATAAAACCTTATACCACCATAAATGTAATACCATTGACTTTTTTGTGGCATCATGTGCCATAATGTGTTATACATTCCAATGTATATGAATGACATTATGAGCCTAACATCCATTTTTTGTATTGCAAAACATCAAAGATCTTCGCAAATTTTGAGAATCATTAAACAATGGTTGAAATGGAAGGTGTGAAAAATTGGCAAGTAAGATAAATTTGTATCTGCAACATTGGGTTATAAAACAACTTACATCTATTTCCATCAGAGTGGACACACATTGGTCTTCTTTAATCATTCCCTTTACGACCCCATTACACAACTCATACAGCGCCCTCTGTAGGCTCTTCTTATTCTGACTATAAACACTCTCCAGCCCCAGCGCTCGACATGACTTTATACTAAAATAGAAAGATATGTATATGATGATTTGTTGAGACTACAATGTCCAAGAGGCTAGATGGTTATAAAAGGAAAATTATAGTTCAAAAGACAAAGATGATGCAGATTTCAATACCGGTACATATACCTCAATTAGCACTATTCCAATTTTCAATCAGATATATGTGGTTCCTGCAATTGTTTCATTACGTCACTAATCGCAAAAGGCTTTTGTGATACAAGCCTATTTTGCGAATAGTGACATCATCAAACGCTTAGTTTTAGTGGAATTGCTGGAACCACAGAAATCTGATTGAAAATCGGAATGGTGTAAATTGATGCTATCAGTATCAGTGTCCCCAACACACATACAAAATTAATATTGTAACAATTCATTTCGGTACGGTACATGCTTTTGTGATAGTGATTGCTGCCAAGGCAAAAAGAAGCTAGACTACTAGGCCTAATTAAAATGACATTAGAATGGCAACAGATGCCGGTGATTCTTGATTATTTGAACCGAGTATTTGAACAGTACTGCCAGTCATGAGCTCCAATAGTCAAATCAACAGCTATGTTATGACAGCTATCAAGTAGGCAGCTGGCAAAAATACTGGTAAAAGAAATCACTCCATCAAGGCCGGGAAACCCATGAACAGAGACCCGGTCAAGATACCAACACAAGACACAAGTTTTCATTTTAATTTCAAAAAGGGTACTTTTCTTTAGACCGTTCACCGATCAAACCATTAAAGTTAAAGTGATCAGTATGATGCATCATATTCTTGTTTACTAATTCACAAAGTTTAGCCCTTCAAAAACACTTACAACTCTGACTTTCCAGACTTTTCCCATGTCTTGCCCGCATCTGCAGACAAAAACATCGTCGCCATTTTTTCTCTCCTCGCCTTCTATGACGTCACAGTTCCTAGATGGTATTCTCTAAAACCAAATATGACCGAAATTCAAATTTAGATTGACCGGGAATTAAAGTTATTCATTTCTGAATAAATACACTGTACTTTTGTTTTTTATGTGTATAAATTAAATTTCAAAGAATGACAAGATGCTTAACACAAAGTACACATGATTCAGTTTTTGTTTAGAGAGTAGATTTCAAGATGGCAGCCCCCATGGAGTCAAAGAAATTAACTAAATCGGAAAGAAAAATGAATAAAAAGATCAGTCGTTCTCGACAACTCCTGTTGAAACATGAAAAAATCGAAACAACTGAGGAAGTGTCAAATGTGAGTCTTACAAAATCCCATGGCCTCGTCTGTCAACACTATTTATTTTACAAAATCACCGAATTAAACTGCATGGAAAAAAATAGATTGCTTTTGATTTCATCAGTATTTCCACTAAGAGTAAGATTTACATTATCAATACACTTTGCACATAGACTCATAGATCAAAGCATCTGCCACTATTCCAGCCTCTGTGAATTTTCTGTTGTTTTCAGATGTTATGTGTGTATAATGGAGGTTTAATTATGGGAAACAGCCAGGAGAAAATCCAAGATTTATTCAACCCACATGGAACAATCCAAGACATCACCATGGTACCAGAGAAACCATATTGTTTTGTCTGTTTTGAGAGGCAGGTTGATGCAGAAAAAGCGCAAAGTATTTTAAATGGTTTTAGTTTTATGAATGGAGAAACTGAATATAAACTTTGTATATTCTATGTTAGTCAAGGTATTGATGTCTCCTTCTTTTTTATCTATTTTCTCCTCTGAATAGTTGAGTTGCTCAAACAGTAGACCCTACTGGCACTCGCCAGCCATTGATAATGATAGAATATGATAAGAACACATTCTTTCCAAGTTGATATTCCAAAGTAAGGTTTGAATTTCTCTCGTCTTCAATTATTGAACGAAAATCTTACACAATTCTGTACCGTACATTCATCAAAATATGAAACGGCACGCTGCTTTCGTTTCGTAACCAGTGATTTGTTTTAATTGGTTGAAAATTGTTACCAATACGGCAGGGCCAATTTTCAGTGGGCTATATTTAACTAAAAATACGTAATTTTTCTCATTTGTGTTACCACAAGGAAGTATGACGAATGGGGGTGTGGTTTGGACACGATGGAATGTTACCTACCTATTCAATGAGTTTGTTGTATTAAAGAAACACTCTTTGATCAAGAACTACTGTGAAATTGTCTTGAAGGAACATCCCCCAGCCCTATTACATACTTATATTAATTCTTTACTTGAATTGTTTGAAGTAACCAAGCAAAAGACATCAGGCTTGCATCTGTATTAATTCTTTGATATCTTTTATTTTCAGTTCCACCCAGCATAGGACCAACGACAGCCCTACCCCCGGGATTAATTCTAATCCCAGACTTTATCCCAGAGACGTTAGAACAGGAATTATTAGAGTCTATAGATTGGAGCACTGGGGTAGATCAAGGTAACGTCTGTCCCTGAGGGTGAAGCAAAGGGGCGATTCAAGCTGTCACTCTAACTCTTGTAGTCTCTACTCAATAAGATTTGAATTTGTAGGTTGTTGAATATTGAAAATGAAAGATAATTAAGTTTCAAGTTTTCTTAAAGCATGTGTATGAGCAGCGTATGGGTGGCCAGATTATATATCCCCTCTGTTATATTTTAGATTGTGCTAGGACACATAGAATGATATTAACAGTCGTATAAATCATCTAAATCTAAACTTTTTTTTGTGAAATTTAGTCCAGAGCTATAGTCTCTCTCTTAAACTGAAATTAATCTATTATTTATTTTCTGTTTTTACCAGCGTTGAAACATCGTAAAGTAAAGCATTATGGGTATGAGTTTCGATATGATATAAATAATGTTGATCCCAGTTGTCCGTTAAACGAAGGCATACCTAGTAGATGTCTGAAGTTATTACACCAAGTTAATGATCTAGGAATTGTTAATTTTATACCTGATCAACTCACAGTCAATCAGTACCAACCTGGACAGGGTATGTATCTCTTTAAATCTTTCACAGTCAATCAGTATCAACCTGGACAGGGTATGTATCTCTTTAAATCTTTCACAGTCAATGAGTATCAACCTGGACAGGGTATGTATCTCTTTAAATCTTTCACAGTCAATCAGTACCAACCTGGACAGGGTATTTATCTCTTCAAATCTTTCACAGTCAATCAGTACCAACCTGGACAGGGTATGTATCTCTTTAAATCTTTCACAGTCAATCAGTACCAACCTGGACAGGGTATGTATCTCTTTAAATCTTTCACAGTCAATCAGTACCAACCTGGACAGGGTATGTATTGGAAATTGAATTGAGGTTGAAAAATCCGAAGGTATTATCTCGACCTATGTCACGATTGAACTCTTGACCTTCAGGTTAGCGATCAAACATCTAACTCACTGGGCCACTGCAAGATGGGCTTGAGTAGTTTTTTGGTTGGTTTAACCCAGGATCTTGAAGTATAGGCTATTTATGTTAATATGAAAAAAAAGATAGGACTGGGCTAATGCCACTGTCCTGACAAAACCACTGTATTGCACACTGCATGTGACCATATTTATCATAGAAATAACAGAATTATGTTAAATATATTTGTTTGAAGCTGTGCTTTTTTTATGTTTTAACATCTTGTTTTAGGTATACCATCTCATATAGATACACGAGAAGCTTTCGAGGATGGTTTGATGTCACTTAGTTTAGGTTCTCAGGTATGAATTAAAAATAGTCAAACAATGTTTACAACGTTTTTCATCTGTGATCTTAAGATGTTTCGGCCGAAAGATTTCTAAGTCTAACCAAGAACTGTACAGTGCAAGTACCAAGTTGATGATTTTCATTATAGAAAAACCATTGAATTGGTACATGTCTTATTATTTCTCTACATAGTCCCTTTCCTACCAGGGAATTTGAAAGACGCTGGTCAAGAAATCAATTTTTTAGCCACATAGAAATAAGTCATTCAGAGTGGAAATAAAGTCATCATTACGAGAAGTATAATGAGGTATGGCCTGAGGGTTCACAATGTTTTGTCTTGTTTTCTAGGTAGTGATGGAGTTTCGTCACCCAAAGGGAGATCACTTGTCAGTTTTAATTCCTCCCAGAAGTTTGTTGATAATGACAAGTGATTCTCGTTACGTCTGGTCACATGGTATAACTCCACGGAAGTCTGATATTATTCCTGCAAGTGACGGAAAGTTTACTCTCTCACAACGTGGAATTCGAACTTCTTTTACTTTTAGAAAATTGACAGAAAATGCAGGTATTTATATGAATAACAATCAACCTGTACAGGACAGTGGGGGAGGGGATGGTCTCAGCTGGTAGGGTGTTCCATAATTTTCTTTTGATCAAGAAAGATTTCTATTTGACAAACACTCGAGTTATTCGAAAGAATTAAAACCCAGTGTTTGGATTTTTAAAGAGCTTGCAAGCCAACTTATTGAACAAGAGATCAGTGTATCCCTTATTTGGTGTGGATTGAATAATCCTGTGGAATATTTGAATAAGAGATCGAACAAATCCTGATGCAACCTGTGGTTAACCTTCTCTTAGCAGATTTTAGAGGGCACTAGTTATAGTGGTGGGTCAGGAGGGGGGTGGTTGATTCCCTGGCAAAGTAGGAAGGCGGAGAATACATATAACGTGACTTTGGAAGTGAAAGTAGAATAGATTTTTCATTTTATGTCCGGAGGGTTTACATCTAAACATCCATGTGAAATATTTCAGGTAAATCTGTAGAAGAAATAGAAAAGGAGAAAAAAGCAGTATTTAGTTTACCAAGAAATGATGAGGATGCTGTAAAATTAGAACAACAACATGTTCATCAGGTACATAAATTTAATTTAAACCTTCCATTAATCCCAAAACTCGATACAATACGACTGTCAAAGCCATTTCAATTATTCATCCTTTATTTTAGAACAAAAACAATATATTAATAAAACAATAGCTCTGTGGCCTTATTCTTTAAGATATATTCTGGATTGTACATACAGTAATCTGATTGGTTAATAAAAACCTTATCTAAAATCAATTTTAACAATCTTTTAGTGATCTATTCTGGACAGGCCCCTGATATTAGTTGAATCCAGATGTCTTATCAAGCTAAATACTAACTCACTTACCTGAAGATCTCTCTCCTAGCATAGGCTGACATAATACCTTTAGATTTTACTTCAGTCAGACTGCATGGTGTAGCCCATCTTCATTGTCCCAATCAGGTACATACAGTAGGACATCACTTATATCATTGTTAGTCGCTTCTTTCAAATCATGGACCCGAACTAGAAAATACAGCTTGGCGATATTGGTTCAAGTTGATATCACGATATTTATTATTAATATATCACGATATGTATCATTAATATATCACGATATTTATCATTAATATATCACGATATTTATCATTAATATATCAATATTTATCATTAAGATATCACAATATTTATCATTAAGATATCACAATATTTATCATTAATATATCACGATATTTATCATTAATATATCACGATATTTATCATTAATATATCACAATATTTATCATTTAATATATCACCATATTTATCATTAATATATCATGATGTCATTTAATATATCATATTTATCATTAATATATCACAATATTTATCATTAATATATCACAATATTTATCATTAATATATCACAATATCATTTAATATATTATGATATTTATCATGAATACATCACAATATTTATCATAAATATCACAATGTTTATCATTAATATATCACAATATTTATCATTAATATATCATAATATTTATCATTAATAAATCACCATATTTATCATTAATATATCACAATATTTATCATTAATATATCACAATATTTATCATTAATATATCACAATATTTATCATTAATATATTACTATATCACAATATTTATCATTAATATATTACGATATTTATCATTAATATATCACGATATTTATCATTAATATATTACGATATTTATCATTAATATATCACAATATTTATTATTAATATATCACGATATTTATCATTAATATATCACGATATTTATCATTAATATATTACGATATTTATCATTAATATATCACGATATTTATCATTAATATATCACGATATTTATCATTAATATATTACGATATTTATCATTAATATATCACGATATTTATCATTAATATATTACTATATCACAATATTTATTATTAATATATTACGATATTTATCATTAATATATCACGATATTTATCATTAATATATCACGATATTTATCATTAATATATCACAATATTTATTATTAATATATCACGATATTTATCATTAATATATCACGATATTTATCATTAATATATTACGATATTTATCATTAATATATCACGATATTTATCATTAATATATCACGATATTTATCATTAATATATTACGATATTTATCATTAATATATCACGATATTTATCATTAATATATCACGATATTTATCATTAATATATCACAATATTTATCATTAATATATCACGATATTTATCATTAATATATTACGATATTTATCATTAATATATCACAATATTTATCATTAATATATCACAATATTTATCATTAATATATCACGATATTTATCATTAATATATCACAATATTTATCATTAATATATTACGATATTTATCATTAATATATCACAATATTTATCATTAATATATCACGATATTTATCATTAATATATCACAATATTTATCATTAATATATTACGATATTTATCATTAATATATCAATATTTATCATTACAGGTGTATGAAGAAATAGCAGATCATTTTAGTAGTACGAGACACTCCCCCTGGCCTCAAATAGTTCAGTTTATAAATTCCCAACCCCCAGGGTCTATCATGGCTGATATCGGGTGTGGCAATGGAAAATATCTTGGTATTAATGAAAATGTTTATTCTGTAAGTTGATCACTAACTATATTTAATATTTAGTTTTCTATCAATAAAATATATCATTTTCATTATAAATTAATTAAAAACTCCATCTTGTTTTCAGATTGGGTCTGATAGAAGTTATAATCTGGCTAGTATTTGTCGATTTCGTAATTTCCAGTCTTTGGTATCAGATGTGATGTGTATTCCTTTACGGCCGGATAGTTTTGACGTGTGTATCTGTATTGCTGTTATTCATCATCTATCAACTTGGGTAAGTCATTTTTTATACGCCCACATGAAATGGGGAGTGTATATTGTTGTCACCCCAGTCCCTCTTTCAGTCAATTGCTCGTAAACACTCTAGAAGGCACAATTCTCAACTGATTTTAACGAAACATGATATGATTGTTTGTAATCACCCAAGGATGTTCCCTATTGAAAATCAGAAAAATAAAAAAAAAAGGTATTGAGAACGTGTTCAATTTTACCTTGTAAACACTCTAAAAGGTTCAATTATTGACAGATTTGTGATGCTAGAAATATGACAACCTATATATTATAAGATACTCTCTTATAGAAGCATTGGCCAAGATCACTAGTATTATTTTTTGTTTCAGGAAAGAAGACTTGGGGCTATACAGGAACTGGTGAGAATATTACGCCCTGGGGGTCAGGTTTTGATATACGTCTGGGCTCTCGAGCAACAGAGACACAAGGAAAAATCAAAATATCTCAAACAAGATAAAAACAAATTGGACAGCAATGAAAATTCTGAGGTTGAAAATGAATGTGAAAAAGTTACAGAATCTGAGGTCAATACAGAAAAGTTTTTACAGGATTTAGACATTTCCAACAAATGTATTCATGGTTCATCATTTCAATCATTCCAAGAACTTAAATATTGTGAATCATCAGTTGAAAGTTTGACTCAAAACGGGTGTTTAGCTACAATCTCAGACATTGCAAATAATATGCAAATTAATTCACAAGACAGTGATAATAATACACAAATATATTCACAAGACAGTGCTAATAATATGCAAATTAATTCACAAGACAGTGCTAATAATATGCAAATTAATTCACAAGACAGTGCTAATAATATGCAAATTAATTCACAAGACAGTGATACCGGTAGTAGTAAAAATATAGGAATTCATGTAAATAGAACTGAATTTCAAGAACAAGACATGTTTGTTCCGTGGCAGCTGAAAAATAAAAGTGTAAAAAACGCAGCAACATTTCACAGATTTTATCATGTATTTCGAGAAGGTGAACTAGAAGATTTGTGTGAGAAGATTTCAGATTGTAGAATTATCAAGAGTTATTATGATCAGGGAAACTGGTGTATTATCTTACAGAAATTATAATTTAATCTTTCAAATAAAGTTTTTATTAAATATTTCAGGGAAGGAAATGAAATGAGTTTTATATTCTAGTTTTTGCACTGAATTTGGCTACTGAAGAGGCAACGCCATGCAGCATACAGTGGAGGGAAATTTTGCCATTAGTCTTTTACAATATCTAACTGATGATGATTCTTCAGGGAGAGGCTGCTCGAATAAATAATAACTTTGTTTCGATGTTATAATATTTTATTCTTTACAACTGGTCCCATTTTGAAATTGTGAGTAATTATATTATGACAAGGTGTAGAATCTTCCAAAGATATAAATTAGCACCTGTTACAATTCAAAACTTTAACAAGGACAGTCTATTTTGATTGGAGGTAGAATAAGTAGTCAGTAATGCTGTATAAACTATATTTATATTGACATAAATAAATATTCTACTAGGGCTGGGCGATATTGGTTCAAGTGAATATCACGATATCAAGCATTAATATATCACGATATTTATTAAGTATGGTTTTTACTGGTTTTTAATACAAAATTTTAAATTTAAGAAAAAACATTATATCTCTCAGAAAAAGACCCCAGTCTTGAACATCATGAAAAAAACATCTTTTTCAAATATTAAGTTACTAGTTAAAATTGTGCAGATGATCAGACTGGACAAAAATATGGCGATATTTGGGTATTTTTTAATCAGATGATATAACTAATGATATAAATTTCTAGACCAGGTATTTATCGTGATACTAGTGTAACGCCCAGCCCTGTATCCTACCTAAAACTTTAGTGGACTGTTTATATTTTAACTCATTCTTGGATATAAACAAATATCTATAACTTGACTATTATGCTAATATCATAATGGAAGATAATGTATCAAACTAAAACAAAAAAATCTTCACTCAAAACTAATTAAATATAACAAAATAAAATATATAATAAAAATGGCTGTATGGCTGGAAAAATTATCAATTGTCATCGCTGGAATTAATAATTTTGATTATCAAATTTCATAATCAATTATATGTCAAAGTTATATTTTCTCCATTGTACCCGTTAACAAGTAGTAATCTCTTCTACATAGTTTCCCTTCAGCGCATAACATACCCACAATAATCTATAATAACAGATCAAAGCAATAATATACTTCTATGATATAAAAATTACCCATGAAATCAAGAATTTTGTCATGTTTTTAATTTAGTATTTACAGGGTTTCTCAATTGAATTATAATGATTATTAATTGATAGGGATATAACAGTCTAAATAATGTCTCGTTACTGATTAAAGAACGATTGGTTTCCTTATTCTTTAGTGTCAAACTAAGCAAACCATTTGATTAATTGGTGTTTCTAATGAATTATCATGTATTCTTAATCATATCATTATGTTCTTATTGCATATAATTAATAGTCTTAAACAATAATAAATGTCCATGTATGTACAGTCTGGATAAACAAAAAAAGACTTTTTGAACTTTCTTGATCGTCACTCATTGAAATTCTGCTGGTAATTCTCTTCTAATTTTGCTAATTATGTATTTATTATGGACATGTGAGACAAACTGGTATTTTTCCAAGTCATTTGAACAACTCTACTTTCTATTCATATAAGAAGTACCATTTTCATAAATAAAAATAAGGGAACCCACCAGCTGGTAAAGCAAAAAGATCAAACAAACTAAGATAGATTTTATTACTTTTCGCATAGAAAAATATAATGGACCCATTAATTTAATACAAATTATAGTGCTAGGAGTTTATCAGGGAAACTGGAAGATTGATAATAACTTTAGTAACTTTAAGGGTGGCGCAAGGTAATATGTGGAATTTAAGGAAGGGGGTACAAATTTAACAAATTTTGGCCTTATGTGTTATGTGGGGGACGGGTAATAACCAGTGTTAAAATGTGTAGTTTGTTCCCCACGGTAGAGAAGCCTAGACATTATTATGATGGTGGGTGGGGGGTAAGGTAGGAGGGTATTCATGGGGGTAATAACCAGTGTGAGGTTGAGGCATGTTCCCGAGTGTGTGTAAATTAATGGGTTGAGACTGGAGGTATTGACTTGAGCTTGGAAGGTTGTAAATATTATGGTCTAGGTTAGAATACATAGCCAGGGGGTTGTACGAATGAGGGATGTGATTTTGAGGTAGCCCTGGAATTGCTGGAACTGACAAGACTGTCCCCTGGTTGCCAGATCCCTCAGGATGGAAGTGACCTTGATGGGAGAGAGGGATCATGGAATTTTGGGGTGAATTCACATCTTGAAACGTTTTTTCTTCAGAAAAGTTCTGAGGCTTTACTCTCATGGAAGACTCGAGTTTAAAATCTGGTCCCTGAGTTTCTAGATTTGCAAGACTTGGCTCAGTTTCTTCTAAAATGTTTTCAGTCTCTTCAACATGGGCGCTAGTTTTGTTCACAACGTCAATAAAATAATGTCCTTTTTTCACCAGCGAAACTGTATCTTCTCGCCATTTCTTTGGTTCCTTTTTGTGAATTAAAATCATGTGACGTCTAAGAACGGAAGAATCTGTGAAATGTTTTGAACACAAGCTACAGACAAAAGGTTTTTCTCCTAGATGTATTCGTTCGTGTCTTTTCAGTGCTTGTTTTTGACTGAAACCTCGACCACATGATGAGCACACATAATCTTTGACCACTTTGTGAATACGGGCGTGGATAGCCAGAGCTGAAGATTGACGAAATGATTTTTCACACTGTTTACATTTAAACCTACGAATATTATCATGCATAAATCGATGTTCGCGTAACGATTTTTCGTAAGCGAACGTTTTTTCACACATATCACATTTATAGTTTCGTATACCGAGATGAACATTTGCATGTTGAAGATACGAGTGTTTCTGAGAAAAACTTTTCCCACAAGTTGGACATAAATATGTTCGCTTCAGTCCGAGATGTTCCGATTTCACATGATAGCTCAGTACATATTTTGTACTAAATGATTTTTCACAAACATCACACTGAAATTCAGGTTTTTCGTAATTTTCTTCGTGAGTTTTTCGATGTTCTGCCAATGATCTCAGTCCCTTGTACAATTTCCCACAAATGTCACAACAATTTTGAGGTTTTTGGTGACTTTTTAAATGTCTTGTTAAATCTTTATTGAATCCAAAAATACGACCACAAACATCACAAGGAAAGTCTTTTGTTCTGTGAAATCGTCGTTTATGTTGTCTTAACAGTGCTTTCTTCTTGCCGACATACGGGCAATCAGGGCAGCTATATTCTAGTTCTAGAATAGAATCTGTCGTAGATACTTCTGAAATTCTTGGTTTTTCAACTTTCGTGAAAGTCTTGCGAAGTTTTTTAGGAGTCAAATTTTCAGAAGACTTTTTCAGCTTATTCTTTGTGGGTTCTATTTTAGATTTTCTGGACGGGTTTTTCTTAGGTTTAGATCTCGTGACTTTCTTTGAACTTCTGAGTGGACGGGAGACTGGCTCTTCTAAGGGCAGATAATCAGAATCTGAATTATCATCTGGTACGTTAAAATCTACAGAAAGATCATCATCAATGTTGTCATCAATATTTTTCTGAGTTTTATCCGTTTCTTCCGTCTTGATCTTATCAGGCCGAGTTTCAATTTGTTTGTCAATATCTTCAACAGAACTAATCCCATTTTCGTATACATCCTCTTCAAATTTGTCATAATATATCAAAGGATCTGGAACTCTCGTCTTGGAAGTTTGTTTGCTCACTTCTGTCAAAACTAAATCATTTTCAGAATTCACTTGGTTTATTTGGTCCCCATTATTTTCATAGAAAATCTCATCAATACATTTCAGAGAGTCAACATTATCAGAAGGGAGAGCACCCTTGTATGTTTGAAAGAATTTTTGAAGAAAGGATCTCGTTCTTGCCACAGAAATCCAGGACCCTTTAACATAAGTTTTGTCCTGGTGCAAAAGTTCAACCCCCGTTTTATCACCAATAATTTTGAGGCAACTTTGAAGAAGTTCTTGATCAGCATACTTTGCAAGATGTTCGCTCGAAATTTCGGCACTGACGGTCACAAAGACATTGATTTCACAAACTTTCATGATGCCTCATCCATTAATACAAATTTTAATTACTTTAGGCTAATAGCAATTAGGCCAAACAAACAAATGTAACAAACTTTTATTTTGATTTCGTGCAGGAACTAGCCACCTTTCTTATTTCCTGAGTAGAAACTTATCATTGAAGGGGGAAAACTCTTGTTTCTATAATTATACTTCAGACTACAAATAACTTTCAAACCATTGACACAACTCACAGGCTAGCCTTTTCTGTCTTTCCCATTGCTTTCGTGACACACAGAACTTTTTGTCCCGTCTGAACGAAAGCTGGAAATCGAATTGAAACTTAGGAATGCATCTGACATACCATTTTACTAGACTTTTACTGGACTAATGAAGATCGGAAAAAAAAATGAATGGTGTTTTACGTCCTTCTTTTCTGCACCCTGTGGGTACATTGAGGGAAATTTTTCCAAGACAGTGGCTTTAGCCTGCTCTTTTTCAATTTACGACTTTTGTGGGATCTTTAACGTACCCAGCCTGGTAGAACATAGGGCCTCGGTTTATTATCCCATCCGAACGACTCGACAATTTTTCCAAATCAGTTCCTCTTACCTGCATTCGAAAATCGAAGGTATTATCTCGACCTATGCCTATGACCTTCAGGTTAGTGAGAAAGTGTCTAAAACTCACTGAGCTCTCACTGAGCCACTACGGCTCTAGGAAAGATAGTGGTGATAGTAAATGGAGTATTATATCATGTTCTGATTATCAGGCAATAAACACAAAATATCAAGTAAGTAAGTGAAGGGAGTTTAATTTTACCCCTAAAAGCATTTTAACAATGTCAAGCTATTATGAACTTCGTCTTATACCTTGACTGCAATAGCTACCTTTCTTGTGTCATGGAAGTTAATAATTGCAGTGATTTAATTGAATTATACACTCCAGAAAATACAGCCAATCAGAGGTCTCCACAAAAAGTCTGTTATCATTATGGCTTAGTGTTTACAGACTTTTTGTTGTGGGCTTTGATTGGCTGTATTCACTGGTGTACGATCCAATAAAATCATTGCATTCTGTGATACAAGAATATTGGCTATTGCTGTCAAGGTTGTGGTAGCTTGACATTGTGAAGATGTCAAACAGAAGCTAAAGCATTACTCTGTACTAACACCTTTTATATCATAAAGAAAAAAGAACAAGTCATTTCAATTTCTTTTATCAAAAACAAAACAGTTTAAATAAATTAATATTTCTTAAAAAATCAAACAAATTTCAGAAGTTGATTATTGCTGCATCAAAATGTGAAAGAATTATAATTTCATGCTATCTTAATCTGATATATAAAGTCAGGGAGGAAATTTTTCATAATAAATCTGGAACAGAAACTAATAAACCTTACAATCTTAATAAATAAATATCTTTTTTATGCATTAGGCTATTTTAATCTTAATCTTATAATGAACTATGGTCAAACAAAAATAATTTATGCTCTGCCGGGTAAAATTCCAGCAGTCGACTTTTAACTATGAATCAAAACTGTAGCCTACAGACTAAACTTATATTTTGTTGATTATTACTTTTTATATACCTAAAAATAAAGTAGACTGATGGTGTTTATTTTTTTTATTGGACCTGGATGAACAGAAATATCTATGTTTGGCTGTAGTTGTAGAACCAAAGTTCTCAACCTTTCTCAGGAAGCGACCCCATTCCAGAAAATCAGATTGCAACCTCTCAAAGTAAGAACAAAGCCTGACATTCTACTTAATATCATTATCATTTATATTTGATATCAAATTATCCATCTATGTGATGGTTGGACCTGTTTCTCCGCAACAAGATATGCAATGCGTGGCTCTAACACCACATGACAATCTTGTCCTTCTCTATTTGTAATATTATGATAACATTCCTTTCACAAACCATATCATTTTTCAAAAAGTTTTCAGATTAACCTGCGACCCTAATGAAAGTGCTTTGCTTTCTAGAAGTTGTGAGCCCAGATTTGAGAATAATAGTCTTTACAGTCTTTAAGTTTGATGATGATGTTGATCAGTCTGGGTGTCCTGAGAACTAACAGTATAGCCTGTAGCTTGTTGATAATCATTAAAACTCATACCAAACTGACTAGCTAGCTGGCTGTAATAGGCGTATATTGACGGCCATTGTGTCGAGGTTGATGATTGGTCAGTTGAAAGGTCAGGTCGAATATCTACTGGGTAGTTAACGCTACTACAGCGTCCAGTGTTGTCTAGGTCAGCATTGGGAAGATACTGAGGTGTCATGGATCTGTGAAGATGATGATAATCTTTAGTCTGTGAAGATGAATCTAAATGAATTGCTGCCATTCCTGAATGTGGTAAATTGGAAGGAGTCAAATTATTTTCCGACAAATTCTGACTCAGATCACATGAGATTCCATCGTGCCACGAGTTTGAAACTGGAGGGTTAAAATCTTCAACTACTCTCTCCTCTTTTGTAGAGTTCACAAGATTGTTGGTGCTCCTGTCAGAGTAATCAATAGCTTGTGGAGCAGGGACACCATTGTTCACGGATTCAATTTGACTGGGAGTCAAGTGCGTGAAAACAGAAACATGAGAATTGGGGTCATAGGTCACATATTCCAGTTTTGATTGGAAATTATTTTTCTGATCTGAGGGACAGACCGACAAGGCTGGGATTATTTCTGACTCTTCTGATACAGTTTCTTTACCAGTCTCCTTCACTGGATCCCCAACTTTTTCAACTCGGAAATTTGTGGGCGTAATTTTGCAAATTATGTCCTCTCTCCAACAATTGGAATCTTTGTGAATTTTATGTACAAGAATTAAATGGCGTCTAATGATGGAAGAATCAGTAAATGTTCTGCGACAGAATTTACAGACAAACGGTTTAAATCCTTTATGCACGCGTTCATGTCGTTGTAACGCTTGTTTCTGAGTAAACCCACGCCCACAATCCGAGCACACAAATTTCTTCTCCACTGCATGAATACGCATGTGCATTTTAAGACTTGATCGTTGAGAAAAGTGTTTATTACAAACGACACAAGAGAATCTTCGCTCTTCAGTGTGAGTGTGTTTGTGATCACGTAAAGCAGATTCATAATTAAAACCCTTACCACAAACATCACATATATGGGGTTTCGAACCTGTATGAGCGTTGGAGTGTTCTTTTAATGAATGTTTAGTTGTAAAACTTTTTCCACAAATAGAACACAAGAAACTTTTCTTTTCTCCCAAATGTTCGGATTTGATGTGACATTTCAGAATGTAGGTGTTGCCGTATGTTTTTGAACATTGTGGACACTCTACAGATGGCTTGGTATAATCTACATCGTGAGTCTTTTTGTGATCATCAAGTGATTTTTTAATTTTATAAACTTTTCCACATATATCACAACAATGTTGAGGCTTACCATGGGATATTTTATGTCGATTCATGTAGCGTTTATTGGGAAAAACTTTCAAACAAAGATCACATTTTACTGGGCACGCTTTATGAAATCTACGTTTATGATCAGAAAGGGATAAATTACTACCACAACTAAAATCACATTGAGAACAAAAATATGATTTCACACCTTGATTTTTAGGACGTCCTCGTTTTTTCTTGACTTTTTCAGGAGGGGATTCTATTTCAATTTCACCATTTTCTTCATCATCATTTTCAAATTCATAATTATCTTCAGGGCTGGAGTCTGACAACTCACCGTCATTTTTCTTTCGAGTAATTCCTTCCCTTACTTCTTCATTTTCAAATCTTTTGTCACCGTCCTTTGGAACGGATGATTTCATTAAAGGCCTGCGAACAAAATTTGCTTTTAAGTTTGTAAATTTGTACATTTTCTGTTTGACAAGACTCAAACCTGTTGTAAGATTTTTCTTAGGTCTCCCTCGTTTTCTTCTCGGTGGAATTTTCAACAACGAAATTTTCTCAGAATCATTTTGATCACTTAAATTTCTTTCATTTGGAACATTGTTTGATTTTACATGGAGATATTTTTCAATCTTCTCCACAATTGGTGCCGAAAGTCCATGATTTTTAACATTATTTGTGTCTTTAATAAAAGAATTCACTGAAATTTCACTTGAATCTGATGTTTCAGTCTTTGAAATTTCTGTTTTAGCTGAATCTTGTGTCCTAGTCCCATCAATAGAGCTTAGATTTTTATCTAGTTTGAGGTCACGTTTAGAAACTATTCCTTTTTTTTGTCTTGTGCCTTTAGATTCCTGAGAGCTTGGAAGAGAATTTGAACCATGTAATGCTAAAGAAGTGGCGAGAATGCTGAAAACTTTCCCCATCGAGATCCATAATCCCTGGAATTTATAATGTTGATCGGAATAAAAGAGCAGTACTCCAGTCTCTTTGCTGGCACCTTCCAATATAGCATAAAAGTCAAAACCAGTTGGAAATTTGTGTACGAAGTCTTCAGACACCTCCGCTGTAACAGAGCCAAAAATGGTAGTCATCTTCACACCTATTCATTAATTAACTACGTAATTAGCGGCGTTCTTTCATCTGTTGTCATCTACGGAAAAAATCATACACTATTTCTACCTCCAAGCTGAAGAGTTCTACTCAAGTTATCTTTCCTTTGTTTACACATGACGTCATGAAAGTAGGTCAGTAGACCAAGCTGTATCAACATTGTCGCAAATGACGTTATTACTGTGGTATATTGAATATGATGCTCACTATTTTCATGAATGGAATTATATGAATGAAGTGTAACTGTAGTAAGTGCAGAACTTGGTTTGCAAGCGATTTCCTTCAGACTTATCTATACACTTCAGGCCACAAAGCAGTTAAATGAATAGCCAAGATAATTCAACCCTGCCCTTTCTGCAGGGCACCAACAATATGAATAGCGAAGATAATTCAACCCTGCCCTTTCTGCAGGGCACCAACAATATGAATAGCCAAGATAATTCAACCCTGCCCTTTCTGCAGGGCACCAACAATATGAATAGCCAAGATAATTCAACCCTGCCCTTTCTGCAGGGCACCAACAATATGAATAGCCAAGATAATTCAACCCTGCCCTTTCTGCAGGGCACCAACAATATGCAGTGTGGAATCAGGGAAAGGTCAACAACATAGTTTTTTTTTATGTGGCCCTGGATTAATGCCCAAATTCAACAAGATGTCAGCCTCTCTGAACTGACTGCATCACTGACAAGGGAGAAACTTTGTTGAAAAATTATTAAATATTAACAAGACCTCCAGACTAGAAGGAGTACATCTTACTTACATAGCCACATCATACATACCTCTTTTATTAAGTTGGGTGGAAATAAATAAATTAATCCAACTTGAATTAAGATTAACAATTTAATTTACAAACATGAAATTCAGAACAAACAAAATTAGCATATTGCATTGAAATAAAAATAATCCCAAATATATATATAATTATATACAAGAATGTGACCCAAATATATTTCAAGGCATCAACATTCTTTCTGCTGACAAATATCAAATTTGAATCTTGAATGTCTGGTATGAAATTGTTGATGATTCTGGTCACTTATAATACTTAGACAGTGTGGCTTCAGGCATTGTATGCTTACTCTTGTAGACACCACTTCCATTATGAAATACGTACTCACTTATAATTGATATACGGTACTTCCTTACGTGAACAGTTCATAAGCTGCTGTTTTGCCAGTATGTTCCGGGTTTCGTTTTGCATTTCGGATCGTTAGTACTTAGTTTATTTATTTCTGTCAAATATTCATGTCACATATTCAATCCAAATGACAATGGAGACTGCTTCAAATGGGAGCAACACAGGCTAAATGCTCAATTTTTCGTTGAAATTATCCCCCCAAATGAACTGGAAATGGAATGGTAGATGTGGCAAAATACAAAATTTGATTCCATTAAAATAGATCTTTGAATAGAAAATCCTACGCAGTGTAATCCTCTTACTGTACGAATATTCATACTAAATCAGCTGTCCTGATGAAAGTTTTATATCTAAAACATGTGTTACCATTATTTTGATTTTCAATGAAGGTACGATTACAAGTCAACAATGTTTTCTTATGTTTGGAAAAAGGACAGTTAAAAAAAAAACATCTAAAAACTATTTGACAAATGAAGTTATTTTAAAGACATGATTTGAGAAAAAAAAAAGATTAAATTTTGACAAGTAACTATGACAGTAGCACAAGTACATGAAAGCTTGACAAAAACTTGAAAGTTCCACAAAAACTGTGAAAATCTAGACACACATCTCTCGAAAAGTTGAAAACCATTTTATATTGAAACATTCTATAAATTTATTTGAATAGGAAACTGAAAGAGAAAAAATAAATGTAGGTGAGAGAAAACTTTCATATATTCAATAATCTTACTTTATCTTTATAGAAATAATCTATCAGAGCAGGCATCTTCACAATGTCAAACTATTACAAACTTCATCTTATACCTTGACTGCAGTAGCCACCTTGTATCATGGAAATTGGACATCTAATCAAATTAAAGGTGAATATTGCCATTAAGGTATTGTATCACCATTGTGATGATGATGAGTAATTCAACAATTACCGACTGAGCTAGTCCATTTTCACAAAAGACAATATTCAAACCCAGCATTTGAAGGAATTACACACTTTCAGAAGCACTGGCTGTTGCATCAGAATATTTCTTATTTTAAGTAGGATTCTAACCAATGGCATCTGATTGCCTAGCAGACGAAAATGCAACTCCTCGCTATTCCACTGCCACAAAAAGACAGTGTTCCAACCCAGTGTTTGACGTTCATGGTTTGTAAGGAGATATTCATATAGCCTGACATGGGTAAGAAGAGGTGATAGGGATGACTGAATATAGAATTAAAAATATAAACAAACCTGTAAGGATAGCCTTGATACTTAGATCTAAACACTGACAGTAACAAACTAAAAAATATAGCTACACAACCTAAACCAACTAGGGCTAGTACTGAAATATAAAAACATACAATGACTAGATTCTTGTATTAAAAGATCAGAGTCTCTTATTTAGTTTTAGGTTAAAGTGGCAGTATGGAAAATAAATAAATTATACAAGAAAATATTTCTAAAATATGATATTTACTTTTATGTATACACTTTATCAAAACTGAATTTGTTTTAAAAGGGTGATTAAAAACCGAGAGTAACAATTGTTTATTAAGTATAACTGAACACAATGATATAGATAACAATTACTTTAATAAATAACTTGAGATGTTTCCACAATGATGCTTCCATCTTTATCAAGCAATACAAAGATCATTGCTTGATAAAGATGAAAGTATCATCGTCGAAACGTCGCAAGTTATTTATCAAAGTAATTGTTATCCATATAATTGTGTCCAGTTATTTAAACCCTAATTAATAAATGCCACTCAAGGAAGTTAATTAAGCAGTTTGGTCTAGTTATGGTGTTTGGTCATATAAAAAAAAGGGTCCATTAGAACCTGAGTCGATTTCTTAGTAAGATTATTGTCAAGATGTTTAGTGACAGGATCAACTGGTTGACAGGACCAACTGGTTGACAGGACCAACTGGTTGACAGGACCAACTGGTTGACAGGATCAACTGGTTGACAGGATCAACTGGTTGACAGGATCAACTGGTTGACAGGATCAACTGGTTGACAGGATCAACTGGTTGACAGGATCAACTGGTTGACAGGATCAACTGGTTGACAGGATCAACTGGTTGACGGGATCAACTGGTTGACGGGATCAACTGGTTGACGGGATCAACTGGTTGACAGGATTCTCCAGAACTTTTATTTTTATCCTTTTTAAAAATGAATGTTTTTATTTTGTTTGTTTAAAGCCTGTAAACTGACATCAATTACTGGAAAATCTTGGCTACTTAAACAGGTCTTTTGAGGCAAAGAATCTGCTTCTTTAGAAAATTCTAGACTTACTTCGTTTTTTCCTGCTGTCTCCCTTCATATTGTGAGCCTCGTTCATGATAATAAAACCAACTACTACGGCAGTGTCTTGCAGAAAGTCAAGGAATTTCATTTTCACACAAAAATTTTTGAAACAGGGGTTTTAAAATATCTTTAACAAATCTTTTGTCATAAATGTCATATTTGAAGTGTAAAGTAAGAACTTTGAACATTAGGACTGTATCTAAACTCAAAAAGTATAAAACAATTTCTGTGATAAATATTTTTTAACTATTAATTTTGACTGCTATCAAGTAATACCAGGTCTATGGTAGATTAGATCCCCTTTTATTAACTCCCTGAAACAATTGCGTTACATTTCTGAATTATTTGTTTATCTTGTAAATCTCTCCAGAAGTAGGTAATTTTCTATCAAATTGATGTATTCCAATGCTGAAATCAAAAGTCCCTACTTGTAACCTAGGTCAGTGCTTCTATAAGAGAGTTTCTCTTATAAAACCTTATACCAGGTTAGTTGGAGTAATATATTAAAGATAATAAAAGGATACTAAGTAACATTACAATATACGTCTCCATGATGAACTGACCTTGACTAGAACCATGTATATAGTGCTAGAAACAAACAATACCAAAACATCAAATCATAACCCTACTATACATAAGATATTTTCATTGAGAATACCCACAAATGAATGGCTTTTTTCAATTTATCAGGACTGCGAAGATGTGTGTTTGAAATAAATACAATAGATAACTGTTGCTTCAATAAGTAATACTCTTGTTTTTATACACGTTACTCTTGAGAGGGTAAATCACCTAAAAATCTTCATTCAATTTATCATATAAATACAAACACACGAAAACTTAAAACATAAAATATCTCTATTGTCATTTTATTATTACTTTATCATATACCCATCAACTCACTCTCACTTTATATTATTTTTATCTTGAGTTAATAACTAATTTATATACATCTTGAAATAAACTAAGTGGATGGACAGTCTTCACTAAACTTCTTGCCAATATGCAGTATATTGATTATAATTATTGATAATAAACCATATCTTACCATCTGTCCAGACTGGGGATTTCTGTGCATCAGAGGAGGACCTCGAATATGATTCCACATCTGACCAGACGTCATCGCAAATATCACCGCCTGAAAAACAGACAATTATTCAAAACAATGTTTTTATTGGTCAGCGTTATAATTACCTCTTAGACGCGTTATAGTGTTCTGTTCAGAATTATTTTCAAAAAGATCTTAGCGCTAGGATGTCCTAGAATCAATGTTAGAAGATAAGAACATAGGACATCCTAGTGCTGAGATCGTTTCGAGAAAACGTGACCCTGTTTTGACAGGATGCAGTCAACTGCCTAATATTTCCAGTCAACCTAGCTGTACAGAAATCAGGGAAAAGATCAAGCAAGAGTTTTCACAATGGACCAGCTGGTAAACAGGATCCTCGTAAATCCTTGTATAAAATTGTTGTTTCTTTCTTTCTGAAGTCTAAAGGGCATTAAAAAACCAACTTACCAAAGCTCCAATACCCCAGCATGTTTTATTGTATAAAAACTCTAGATTATTTCGTTTTAAATAGAGTAGTCCACCAATTAGAGAGAAGAGGAGAGCTAGAGCCAAAGTTCCTGAATAGTTTGGAGGTCGGAACACTCGGATCTGTAATATATAACACAAAATCATAATTAAGGATTCCAGGGCGGAGTAAAAGAATTAATGGAAATGGAAATTATCAGCTGAGGATCAAGGGGGCCAGAGACTTCCATGTGAGGGGTATAGGGGAAGATGTTTTGGGAGTCATTTCCTATAGGAACGGTCATGGTATGGCGTGTTTCAACTATCTGGAAATTCCTTAAACCACACGATTTTATCGGGAACGGAAATGTGTGGACAAACAAGGCACCATCCCTCAAACCAAATTTTTAGTTTGAAAATAACAAAATACACGGGTCAGAAAATTAGAGGAGGTCTGAGATCTCTGTATAATAATATGGGAGGATGGATGAGGTCTTGTGAGACAGAAAATTAAAAAAAAAAAAGAGAGAAACTGAGAGCAGTGAAAGCTATTTGATGACCAGTCAAACCAAGTTATAGGCTATCAAGAGTGAAGAAGTTTATTCAAACTCCTATGTAAAGCAATGGCCAAGGTCACAAAGGTAACAGAATTAGTATGTAGTTTTCAACATAAAAACTGTACCAGTAATTTATAATTAACATGATAATAATGATTATCAGAATCATCTTGTCATGAGTTATAATATAAAAACTGTAAAATAAGAAATGATCTACCTGAATATCAGTTCTCTCTTGTACCCATTTAGCAACATTTTCAGCTGAGAAACCAACTCTGTAGATATATAATAAAGGTTTTAATAAATCAGGATAGAACTCATCAAAACACTTATTTTTTAGAAAACGAGGGTCATCTTGTCAGAATACCCAAACTTTAAGATAATTTAAACATACAATACCAAGAATTCTGATTGGTTGATATTATTACCATCGCTGATTGCTGGAATCTAACATAATGTAACTAAGAGAACGTAATTGCAAGTGACATCAGCTATTAGGCCAAGTCATATTATTTGTGCTGAACGTCTTCTAGTCAAAGTAAAGATACATGTAGTTCTTTGAATCAAAGTCCTATTATCATAAGTTATGACCTTTTTGATTTTTGAATTTTCATTTTCTAACTTTTCCAAAAATATATAAAGATAGCTTGCCAGGCAAGGTAATATACGCCCACTGACAGCTTTGATTTTAAATAAAAATATTTGATAGTACAGTAATAATCACCAGTATGAAATATTCAACCTTCAGACTAACATCAAAATCTGTCAAGAATTGGGCTTTCTAGGGCCAGTCTAAAACTTGAAGGTGTTTTTAAGAACAAGGGCAGTGACTCATACCAATTATTTTTTGATTTTTCTTGTTTTTGATAGGGTTCATCCTTGGGTGATAACAAACACACAGACGGACATGGGTGACTGCAATATACGCCCCCATTTCATGTGGGCGTATAAAAATTGTATAAAATTTGTACCTGTGGATGTCCATGGTATCTCCTTTCTTAGCTTTACCTTTGGCTGGAAAATGCATGAAAACAGGAGCTGTGTTGATTTTTAACTGAAAAGAAACAAATTATATCCACTTCAGTTCACAGAGTACATAACTAATTCTTGAAGAAATGATATAAAATATTTTAAGACAGATATAAGCAACGGTCTCCCACATGAAAATGAATTGTAGTTAAGACAAGTTGTAGTATCCATGGAAACCATCTTTTAAATGGAGATTTTATTCTCTGAAAAAGGAAAATATTCATGGAAATGTTGTCATAGAAACACTAACTTTTGATACACATGCAAACTTCCATAAACCTATATTTTTGTACTCTGGAGACACGCTTCAAAACATTCATGAGAAACCTTACGGAATTCAGAAATTTTGGCTTATTGCATTAGTTGTTGATGAACATAGTTATGATTTAAAAGTAGAGATTGTCCAAATAGAACCATACACAGTAAAATTCCTAATATTAGGCCGCGTACAGGACAATAAGATTTGAAGTGGCTGATTTATCAGTAACACGGAAGAATATAACTTACAGATTGAAAGACTTCAGGTCCTTCGTCATAATCAACCATTGTAAAAAATAGTTTATTAGAGAATTGCTGGGAATATCTCCATGAATTGGCTACAATTATATATTCTTCATTGGCTTGTCTACAAATATAGAAATAGATAGTTTTATCACGAATCTTCAGGATTTGAAAACTATCCTCATTACGAAGACATCAGGCTGGGAGTAGAGAAAATGTTTTTGTCTTTTAGCTTTGCTCTTGACTTGTTAAGAGTTGTTCTCTCGAATTTTTGTTGTAGCTGACTTCTCCCTCTTCAGCAAGGTTTGTTTGCTTGAGCAAGTAATAATGGAGAGTCGTCAATGCCCATTCATAAACTGGTTGATAAGAATTTAACATTTGAACCCTTTTTTTCTCATCAGCATAATGCAGCCATTTTGAAGAGGAGTCTCACTTACTTGCAGACAGAACATTGTCGTTTGGCCTGAAGAGCTGTCAACATGACAATAACAGAGTAATTTTTAGGGGGCGTTTTCACCAACTCTCTGAATTTATCCCCAGTCAATCTGATCACTGATTTCTTGTTGTTCCATTCTGTCAGCTGAGAAACTTTATCACCAAGACTGTCCTGTAATATAATATAAGTTTGGTTTGTCCTGGATTCTGAGATAAAAAATTCTCTGTGACCTCTAAATCTAGAGGCCAGTGAGAAACCTTAGTTTGTTTAAGAACATTTTGTTTATACAGAGAGGAGTTTGGAATCCAAAAAGAGCAACTGAGGTGCAATGTTCGGGACAGAATTTTTGAGAAATGATCAAACAAAGATCCAAACCAAAAGGCATTAGAAAAGACAGTAAAGAGGGCATGAGACTCCAGCCTATCTGTGAAGTGTGTTAAACATGGACACAGCCCCGAAGTTAGGGTGGGGCCATGGGGGCTGGTCACCAGAAAGTGAGAATTAAGCCCCAGCAAAACCCTCTTTAGTTCAGCAGAGATTGATTCATTTACAGTGTCTTTAAATACAAAATCAAAAAGATATATAGGCTAGATTTAGATACGTTTCTAGCACCTCAAAATTGTGAGAACTGAGTTCTCTGGGCCTTGGATTCTTCAAATTTTCTGAATACAAAATTTGAGCCCCAGCACCAATTCATTCCTGGCGACGGGCTGCATTGAAAATAAAATTGGAAACAAATTTTATCATATTTCAAGTCAGGATGGAGATGTGTGACCAATACAATTAAGACTACATAGATGAATGATCATCCGTAACTTCAATTTTGACAATCGAGACTATCACACACCGGCTCATTTTAAAAGCGTTTTAAATGCATTGTCAAATCGTCAGACGGCTTCGCAGGGAAATCGGCAAATGACAAATAGATCGGATTTGTACCTCTTTTTTCTTGTACCCCGATTCAGATACTGTGAAACATAACAGCAGCAAAAATGCTGAAAATAGTTGTGAAGCAGTCGCCATGTTTTCTATTTCTTTTGGACAGTCTACGTGGATGTTATCTTGTCTGTGATTGGCTGTTATTTTATCCAATCGAATATCTTCTTATATTTCTAATAAAATCTTCATCACGTGACTATACAGCTGTTCAAGGAATACAGAAAATGCTTTCAAACCGGTACAAGTTATTGAGGAATTTGTAATAAGCATGAATTTCTTAAAATTCAAACATTTTTTTTTAAACAAAAAAAATGGTTTCTTAACATGATTGAAACATCAGCTTAACCCAAATTTAGATTTTCCCAATGCTCGTCGTCAACTAGTTTGCCCCATACCGACTTGTACAAAATAATTCCATACCATGAGATGCAGTCAGTGGAAATAGCCGATTCCTGTAGTCAAAGAATCTTTGCCAAATTCTGAAGACGGCTTCAAAACGGAATATTTGTGATGGAATTCGAAAGATGATATATTCTTGTAAGTTTTTAGAATTTAATTTTTGTCAAAAATAAGCTTGCACTTTACTTCATAATTAGCCGAAATAAGGCCGAAAATTATTACAAATTGATTGAAATGTCATAGAAATTAAAAGAAAAAGCAGGAACCAAATGCTGGCATCAATGCTATGTATCTCTATCATGGGAGAATTTATTTTTGGTATTTTTTGATGGTATATCTGAGCCACACGAAATTTCGCTAGAGACTCCAACAGACCAAAACATAGTTTTGGCAGAATTATAAAACTATAAACATATTGAACCATTAATCTTATTTTATTGAAGCAACTTTTCTGTCAGTTAGTAGATCATCATCTGTTCAATTTCATACTTCTACTTTTTATAAAATGATCTACTATGAACATATGGGGACCAAAACATACATACCCTAGCCATGTGCTTTACATACAGGAGAGGAGGTTTCATAGGCGTAAGCCTGTTCTCCAATCCTTTTCTCAGAAATAAAATATTGTTTACAAAAAATAACATACAGGAGTTTATATGAACTTCCTCACTCATAATATAGACAATTTGAAGAGCCATAATCTCTTTTGTTAGAATTAATAACCAGGTGCTTGCTTGCTTTCACCACCAATATAGCTTAATTTTATATACCTGTATTAGCCCTACTTAATCATCAAATTGAATAAAAATAACAAAGATCTTTTGACTGCAATTTTAGTGATAACAATATTCTACTCATATGAAGGTATAGGTAGTTTCAGTCAATTGAATGTTTATGTGGTGGTCTACTAACTTGGGATCTAAGACAGGGGTTAAGAGATCATTTTGATTTAAAGGCACTTATTTGATAAATAAATAAACACATCAGTAGGGACACAGGCTGAAAATAGGTCAATTTTCGGAAGATGGCATAGCATGAAACTCTGAGTAACAAAATGATTTTTTAGGTTCTGTATTAATATTTCTTACTAAATAAATAAATGAATGAATAGATAATTAAATGAATGAATGAATAGATAATTGAATGAATGAATGAATGAATGAATGAATGAATGAATGAATGAATGAATGAATGAATGAATGAATGAATGAATTTTAAAGAAAGGAAGAAAGCTGTGAATTAAAGTAGACTTCATTAAAAGATAAAATGTGAAGATTTATTTGACAGGAGGTGAAAGGTTAAGAAAATAAAAAATAAAAATATAAATTGTTGAGAGCTGAGGAAGAAAAATGGCAGTTAAAGAGATATTTTTACTAAATAGTCTAGATTTAAACAAGACTTTTTATAATTTCTAATAGTTAGAGAAATGCAATGTGCCTTGGCCTAATGCAATATCATGTGGTATGCAATCAGAAGTATTGGAACTATGGAGAAATAATGATTTAATGAAATAAAGTTTTAGCTCTTGATTATCTGTACCTTATTGGCCTAATACAATTAAAAATGGAAACTATATAATGATAAGTTAATGTTATAATTTATGAGATATTCTGTATAATTTTGAGATATTGGCTTCTCTATCAAGTAACTTTGTCAATACAATATAGACATAAGAGAAGCTATAAGCTCTAATATAAAAGAACTACTGAGAGAATTAGGAATCTAAATAATATTTCATCCATTAAAATTCTCTTTAAACTGTATTCTATAGAAAGTAAGATTCCAAGATATATTATAAAAACTAAGTTGTTAATATAGTGTTGATTTTTAAGAATAACAGAGTGAAGTGGGTCTCATATTTTTTTTCTGTTTGTTGACAGCTGTTTTTAACATCATTCACTATTCCTCATGGCCATATTAGTGGTGTTTCTAGGAAACATTAGGTGAGGTGGTCGACCAGGGGCCACAAAATTTTCCAGGGGGGCCCCAGGCTATGCTTTCACTATGTAAATTGATAAAAATTTTGAAAGGGTGTGGGGACAATGCCAACCTCTTTTACTTGTTTCTTAATGACCTATGTCACCCCTAAATATCTTCTACTTCACTTCTATAACTACCATTTTTTTCTGAACTAAGTGGATTACTGTTGTTTTGGAACTAAATTTCTGAAGAAATTGGAACCATGGTTTATTTAGTGATATTTTGAGTCTAATTTTATCAGTTTGTTTAAGAGTGTGGTAAAATGTTATAATTATTACTATAAATAATGTTCTGTTTATAAATTATGTTACAATCTGATATTACAACACATGTTATCTAGAAATTATCTAGCAGAATTATTCATATCATTAACATGTTTAAATTTCATAGTTTCATATGTATATTTCAATGTTACAAAGCTGCTACCTGATAGAGCATCTAAATATTCACTTTACCAGCTGATAGAGCTCTATTTCAGCTATCTGTATAGTCATCTAAATATTCACTTTACCAGCTGATAGAGCTCTATTTCAGCTATCTGTATAGTCATCTAAATATTCACTTTACCAGCTGATAGAGCTCAATTTCAGCTATCTGTATAGTCATCTAAATATTCACTTTACCAGCTGATAGAGCTCAATTTCAACTATCTGTATAGTCATTTAATAGTTCACTTTAGCAGCTGATAGAGCACAATTTCAGCTATCTGTATAGTCATCTAAATATTTACTTTACCAGCTGATAGAGCTCAATTTCAGCTATCTGTATAGTCATCTAAATATTTACTTTACCAGCTGATAGAGCTCAATTTCAGCTATCTGTATAGTCGTATAAATATTTACTTCACCAGCTGATAGAGCACAATTTAAGCTATCTGTATCACTTGTTGAAATTCAACATCTGGTTTTTGTACAATTCAATAAAATGTAATTACAGTAGAACTTTCATCACTTTTTGGATGTTTGGGAATTCCTCACTAACCTGAAACAAGTAACCTTGCTTCAAGTAAAGCGTTAGTTGGGATAAAAACTTTCAAAACAGGAAGAATGCTAGCAAACCATCTTTAAACAGTAAAATTACATGTGAACTACTTTCAACCTATGTTTTACATCTTTTCAGAATTTACTTCTTAACTTCCTTCAATTTAAACTTCTCATTTTTGGCTTCAAGTCAAATAGTTTTCAAGTTAATTATATCGCTGTGAACATTCAGATATAAACAGTTTACTTTTCTATAGCTCTGTATTTTAGAATTTTCAATTTCCTTATCAAAGACGATGTCATAGTGATTACTAGTTGTATATGGTTGTGAATAATGAAAATGGTAATAAATATCGAACACAGCTCACCACTCAGTTTTACGAGAGTTACGTTCGAAACTTATGACTGCTATTTGTATTCCCAACCATATACAACTGGTGATCGCTATGGTGTGACGGCCACCTTAGATAGAAAAGGTTTCAGAGAGTCCACATAATTAATGATATTTATTTGGTATTTAAGTTTGTCAACTCAGTATTCCTTTCATAGCTAATAATGTTTATTTGGTTTTTGGGTTCGTCAACTCAGTATCCCTTTCAGAGAGTCCACATAACTAATAATGTTTATTTGGTATTTAGGTTTGTCAACTCAGTATCCCTTTCAGAGAGTCCATATAGCTAATAATGTTTATTTGGTATTTAAGTTTGTCTACTCAGTACCCCTTTCAGAGAGTCCACATAGCTAATAATGTTTATTTGGTATTTAGGTTTGTCAACTCAGTATCCCTTTCAGAGAGTCCACATAGCTAATAATGTTTATTTGGTTTTTGGGTTTGTCAACTCAGTATCCCTTTCAGAGAGTCCACATAGCTAATAATGTTTATTTGGTTTTTGGGTTTGTCAACTCAGTATCCCTTTCAGAGAGTCCACATAGCTAATAATGTTTATTTGGTTTTTGGGTTTGTCAACTCAGTATCCCTTTCAGAGAGTTCACATAGCTAATAATGTTTATTTGGTATTTAGGTTTATCAACTCGACATCCCTTTCAGAGAGTTCACATTACTAATAATGTTTATTTGGGGTTTAGGTTGTCAACTCAGTATCCCTTTCAGAGAGTTCACATGGCTAAAAAAAAATTATTTTGGTATTTTCATTTATAGATAGTAGTTTAACAGAAAAGTAAGAAAGATATTGTTCCAATAAACCCAGTTGTGTAAATCTTCTATCAAATGATGCCAGGTTGCATGAAAGTCTGAGAATTACCAGGATCAAGTTTCTGATCTTGGCATCAAATATAATCTAAAACACATGCTACTCTTAAATTCAGGTTAAAAAACTCAGTTCAAAGAGTAAATCTAAAGGTTTGTTTCCTTTCTGTATTGTTTAAATTGAAGTTGTAAAAAGTTGTTAAGATTGAGTTTTTAATAATAAAAAGTTGTAAATATTAAATAGGTTTAGTGGCATTTGAAAATTGATATTTTAAAGATTTTTCACAGAGAAATAAAATATTCCTTGTTATTTTCATGACCTACTTTCTGCATCTGATGTAAGTATTGTATAAGACATCATACAGTATTCAATAAAGGGAAATTGTTGAGATCACATCATTACTTTACTCTTTTGATTTCCAACCTTGATGTGAACAGTCTTAGATAATTAGAAGTACCTAAATGTTAAAATCTTTTCCCCATCTCAGCCTCACTGACCTACATTACTGATTAGACTGAAAACATTCATTCATGTTTCAGGGGTGGGGGGGGGGGGGATGTCACTCAAACTATATTCGCCACTCCCTCAAAATTCGAACAAATTCTCATTTGAAGCTGAAATCAGTCTCTATCAGCTATTGCCGTCCATGCAAATGTGGTCACCCCCTTGGCACATTGGTTTCGAGCCTGGCATAGAATCTATATTTTTACGTCCAAACAATCTTTACGCCCTCTAGGTTGGCTCACTATCTCTATCTTTGAATCAAAGTAGCCTATATAGATTACGCTACTTATAGCCACTTGATGGTAAACGTGATTTCTTATCATATTGTAACTTTAGATATTGCCACCCTTAACATAAAATATAGATGTATGCAGACCATTATAGTTTCCATCCTATCGTATCTTTACATCCTCCAGATTGGCTCTACTCTTGGCTTTGTGTTTACTCAAAAAAGTCTTCCTAGATTTACTTTCAATACACAACCCTCGAAACCTTCTATGATGGCTGAAAGCTATTGGTATAACATTTTATACAATTCTAGTGTGGGGTAAAGAATTTGTTTTATTACTTTAAACCTTGAATCCCAATGTGTATAAGAAGACTTTACATCCTCTAGGGAGACTTACTGAAAGTGTTTTCTACACTACAGCTCTTTTATCAGTTTATGTTGGCTTAATGGAATTTATTATTCATATTAAAATCTCCTACACTTTGAGAGCCCTTGCCCTCCTGCTACACATACAAACTTTTCGAGCAGACGACAATTGCAGAACTGGATAGGCTTCTAACAGGTCTGTTGTTACTATGGAATGCCAGGTAACTATAGTAATGGTACCAGCTTCTACTAAAACTTACTAATTTCATACTAAATAACTATTATTAGTACCAATTTACTAGCAGACAGCTTCTGATCTGACTTTCAATGATTATATTAGTTCAAATAACCAAACACAGGAGTGCCAGACGGAAAGCTGGGATAGCTGATATTCCAAGGCAGTAGCAGTTGTATAGCTTTGTATAATTGTTGAAAAACCAATCTAGAGGGGGTGGGGGGAATAAATTTTATATAAAGGGCTTAAATCCTGCTTTCATTCTTTCAATATTATTACATTTTTACAATGAAAGAGAAGCATATTTCCACTGAAATATTGTAATTGGGCCTTTTGAGGCAGGGAGGGGGTGGGGGGAGGAAGGACACAAGTGTTATAGTTTCTGTTCACATTCTGGGTCAAGGCAGGGGGGGGGATGGCTACTCCCTCCTCTACCTTCAGTTCTTGCTCATCTGGCCCAATAGAAATCGATTGGTCTAGGTACTGATAACTCTATATTAGTGAAATACCAGACAAAACATTACATTGAAGCAATATTAAAGAGAAAGGTTCCTATCGTACCTTAGTCTCAGAAATAGGCATTTTTTAGCCTTGCTAATCAGTAAAATTGTTCACAGCTCACAGCAGAAATTTGAGCCTTCAAATTAATGTGTGTCCAGAATTCTCTGCATTTGAAATCTAAAATAGTGAATCTGTCCCTTAAATATAAATTACTCTTTCTATCAGACATTCAGGTACTTATTAATGGTTATTGGTAAAACCTGGTGGCAGTGGCATAGTTCTGTAAGAAGCTATTTTGATTCTCGTCTGCCAGAATCCTCCTCAGGGTCAGAAAATTCTAATGCCACACCCAGTGCTTCCAGGAATCGGTACGGTCTCTGCTTTCAACCATCATCAATCAGACGGCATCAAACCAGTATGGCTGTTTACTGTTTCTATTATCTTTTATAAAATATCAATATATTTTCAGGTGGCTTTAGTCTGTTTTATTTATCTTTCTATTAATGTTTTACCAATGTCTAACCTTTACAGCTTCTAGGTTGGCTTAAAAATAACATTACCATAAAAATGTCAAAATTCGATAATTAACAAATCCTCACATATAGAGGAAAAATACTAGATGTACAGGTAGAGCTAAGTCTGTTGTATACAGGTAGAAAAAATACTAGATGTACAGGTAGAGCTAAGTCTGTTGTATACAGGTAGAAAAAATACTAGATTTACAGGTAGAGCTAAGTCTGTTGTATACAGGTAGAAAAAATACTAGATGTACAGGTAGAGCTAAGTCTGTTGTATACAGATAGAAAAAATACTAGATGTACAGGTAGAGCTAAGTCTGTTGTATACAGGTAGAAAAAATACTAGATGTACAGGTAGAGCTAAGTCTGTTGTATACAGGTAGAAAAAATACTAGATGTACAGGTAGAGCTAAGTCTGTTGTACACAGGTAGAAAAAATACTAGATGTACAGGTAGAGCTAAGTCTATTGTATACAGGTAGAAAAAATACTAGATGTACAGGTAGAGCTAAGTCTGTTGTACACAGGTAGAAAAAATACTAGATGTACAGGTAGAGCTAAGTCTGTTGTATACAGGTAGAAAAAATACTAGATGTACAGGTAGAGCTAAGTCTGTTGTATACAGGTAGAAAAAATACTAGATGTACAGGTAGAGCTAAGTCTGTTGTACACAGGTAGAAAAAATACTAGATGTACAGGTAGAGCTAAGTCTGTTGTATACAGGTAGAAAAAATACTAGATGTACAGGTAGAGCTAAGTCTGTTGTATACAGGTAGAAAAGAGTGTAGTGGTGTGTTGTATTCAGGTAGTATTTAAGTACAGGTATTTACAGGTAATGGAATGCAGGAATTCTCTGATTGTTACTATTTATAGCTCACCACTATACACAAAGAAATAGACTGGTTCTCTCAATTCTTTTATGCTAGTTCTAGAAATTCCATTGTAGACCTACAGCTTTATACATACTATATACTTATTGTTTATGTGGACTCTCTGAAAGTAATGCAGAAACCTGAAACCCAACATAAACATTATTAGCTATGTGCACTGTGATGTTGAATTGATGAGTCTAAATATTGTTACCATTATTAACTATGTGGACTCTCTGAAAGGGATGCCGAGTTGATAAACCTAAATACCAAATAAACATTATTAGCTTTGTGAACTCTCTGAGTTGTGAGGTTAACAATACCAAGTTACAATTTTTAGTCATGTGGACTCTCTGAAAGTGATGCAGAAACCTAAAACTGTTACAATTATTAGTTATGTGGACTCTCTGAGGTGATGTTTAACCGATATACCTATTTGGAGAGTGGCGTCAGGTGATCTGTTTTGTAAAGCTCTTAAAGGTAGCAATTGAAGAATCGAATCAGATTTTAGTTTTGTTCATATCGGTGATACAAATTATAGAAACTGCTTCGTGCATTTTCTTGTTGTGTGATTAATTTCACTGATTCAGTTTTAACGTGTCCTCACATCATAGAAATTACCAGCTGGGTATGTTTTAAAATAATGAAAGTGGCAATTTCGAACACAACTCATAACTCAGTTGCATGACTCATACAGCATGAGAGTAGCTTTCGAAACTTATGACCGCTACAATACAATATGTAGTCCTGTTCAGTGAGGGTAAATGGGGAGGGGGGGGGCATAGATAAGTGGTTTGCTCCCCCAATTGTACCCCCACTTTATTTTCAACAAATCTAAATGTCTCCCCTTTTTCTCCAAAATATGTGTCAGATGCACAAAATCAATTCATTTTTTCTAAAATGTTCTTGAGAGAACTCTCTAAGACGCTCTTTTAAAGGCTTGTGACTATAACACCACCACAGAGTAGCCAAAATTTGAATTCAGTCACAGTAGTTGGCCCCCCCCATTGAGTCAGTCTGCCCCCTATTTGAGGTCCATTTCAACACCAAAGTCCTGTCTCAAATGGGAAATTTAATGAGAGAAAATTATATAATTTCAGTAAAATGGCGCAGTCTGGTAATGTGGATCCTGGAATAACCAACGCTACATCAACACGGAGTATCACAACCACAGCCCCACCCCCACAGGGACAAGATTTCACCCAGCCAATTGGTATCTACGGATGGAGGAAACGATGTCTCTATGCTTTTATTTTATTTCTCATGATCGTGGTTATCATGAATCTAGCTTTAACAATCTGGATTCTACGAGTCTTTGACTTCTCCGTCGTAAGTTAACATCCATTTTTAATTTTTATTTCTGATGAAAAGAAAACTGATTAATGTATATCTTGAAACCTTGATTCAGGTTTGAGAAATATGATCACCATGTTCTGTTGAATATATTGAATGGGATGATACCTTAATGACATTCAAAATGAAATGGGCCTTCAGTTTGCTACAGGCTTTGTACGTTCAAGACCCCTCAACAGTTGTCTGACTACATTTGCCCAAACTGTAGCAGAAAAGATTATGAATTTGGAACTGAAGAGTAGATATATGTATAGTGTTAGCTTAAAACAAGTAATTACCCCCCCATATTCTCATGGTTATCACCCTCTCCCATTCCTCCCCCCCTCTCTCTCTCTCTCTCTCTCTCTCTCTCTCTACTACTACTATCTATAACAGGAGTGGTTAGGAAGATTAAGAATGACCCAGATTACCCACCCCCCTCTCTCTAGCACCCACCCCCCTCTCTCTAGCACCCACCCCCCTCTCTCAGACCGTACTAATGTATATCTATTACAGGAGGGGATAGGCAGATTGAGAATGACCCAGAAAGGAATCAGGATGGATGGTGAAGCAGAGTTTTTAAAATCTATCTATACCCAGGAAATAAGATCCAGAACGGTGAGTTGTCATTTCTTCTATTGACTGTCAACACATGTTCGGGATACACAATCCTCATCAGGACAGCTAGTTTTAGAAATGGAGGTTAACTTCTAATATAGGACTTGATGATAGCTAATTGACTAGAGCTCTTCTCATCTTCCGACACATGTTTCTGATACACAATCCTCATCAGGAAAGCTCGTTTTTGTAAATTGAATTTTGTAAAGTGAATGTTAGCTGACATGTTTCAGATACACTGTCCTCATCAGGACAGCTTAGGAATCATGTTTCAGACACATAATCCTATCATGACAACAAGTTTGTAAATTTAATTCGGGAGTGAAAAGACTCTAATTAATAGCCTATATTAATTAAGATATGTTTTGTTGCATGATTTAGTATCAATCTTCACTGAACAATAAGCAACAAGAAGAAAATTCTATATTTATTATTTCAGGGAGAACCTCTGTATGTAGACTCCAGTAAGGAAGTCAGAATTCAGTCTAGAAATAAAGCTAATAAAGTCACTAGTAGTTTACATTTAGGTAAAGTAAAAGTAACATTTCTTTACAATTTTATTGGTTGCACAATATAATACACAAGACACCAAATCATCTACAATTAAAACCTTATGCTCAATTGCAGAACTCAACAGCTCACAGTGCCAACAGACCTTCATTCTGTCCAATCAATGACTCCTGACCCCTGAACCAATATCTGATATGATGCACACATCACTTATTATTATGTATTATCTTGTATCATGATGTATGCTGCCCAAAAAGGGGCGAACAATACAATAAATATCTATTTATCACACCCCTGGCATCAGGGTTGGTTCTGTTATTTAGGGGTGGAAGGCTGGTATCACATCATTACAATTGTAATTGACAAGGAAAAATGTATTTATATTTATATATAATTTGAATGTTTTTAGATGATGAGAAATTTGAAGCTAAATGTGAAATATTTGAAGTAAAAGATAAATCTGGTAAAACTAAATTTCTGGTCAACAAGGATGAGGTCATTGTGGGTACAGACGAGATCAAATATGATGGTAGGTCAATATACTTCACATCCTCTAGGGTGGCTCACTACTAAAATGTCACCAAAAAGCTTGGCTTACTACCATCTTGACACCATCTAGCTTGACTTACCACTATCTTGACACCATCTAGCTTGGCTTACTACTAGCTTTACAACCTCTAGGTTGGCTTACTATTTCCTATCTTTCTTCTTAACAAATGTGGAATAATTTAAACCATTTTATTTAATTTTTTTTTAACGTTTTAGGTACTTAGCCTACTTTGGTACTTTTCTTGTATTTTCAATTCAGACTGGACTTGATTTAACCATTCCCTATTGTAATTAAACCACTGTTTATCAGTTTTTATCATAATTTCATCAAAATCTATAACTTTTCAAACTATGATTGTAATATTACAGGAGAAGTCATGTTTGATGGTTCGATAGAAACACCGTCATTACGAGGACCAATAAGTAAACCACTACAGTACGTATTTATAATTATATCTTTACTTATTTACTATTTAATTTGAAGACTGACTGTCGAGATGAGATGTGATATTTTTTAAAAAGTTATTCAATCCCTAATTAGGAGCCTTAAAAAACCCTTAGTAGTTATCCTTGTAAAATCAATGCCAAGATTTGACCAAGGAGGAGCTGGCAGACAGGATCCTGAATTACCTAATTTGTCATGCTTGTAAAAAGGGTTGTTTGACTTTTCAATCAATATGGTTCCTCTTTTTAATTCTGGGTTATTGCCCCTTTTTTAACTCAAGCTAAGGTGATTGGTTTCTCACCTTAAATATTCCAGTTGTAATTTATTTCCAATCTGAACCAGAAAGTAGGAAGTAAAACTCCATTGAATTTCATTTTCCAAATATCTGTTAAACATATCTTCTCAGCATTTCTTTCAGAGAGTCCACATTGTTAATAATAAAACATCTCTTCTTCTATTTTAGAATTGAATCACCTTCCAGTGAGGTTAAAATAACCGGGTCAGCAGGAGTGTCGATACAGGCCCCAGCCGGTGATGTCGAGCTCAAAAGTTTAGATAACGTTCGTTTACAATCGTATAATGGTGATGTAAGTAATAACTCCTTTATAGCAAGGGGACATCACTCTAGGTCTTATTACTATGTAAATTGAAAATTTAATGCGAAAATCCAAACTCATCTTGACAAGAAATCGAAAAACTTCTCATAACCAAATATAACCACAGCTTTTTTGAACAACTTTAAGCAGTTAAATTTATTCTATAAAGCTGTGTTTATAAATCATACTTACAATAGTTTTACAGACTTCTAATAATCAGTCAGTTCTTAATCAAATTTTCAGTTTTATTCTTTGTTCTACTTTTATTTTAAATGATTCACCTTTTCTTAATTTCAGATTTTTATAGACTCAAAAGATATTTATATAAAGAATCTAAAAATCAGTGATTCTAGTTCTAAGAATATTGATAATAGTGAAATCTATCAAGTTTGTTTGTGTCAAAATGGACGAGTTTTTCTCGCGGAAGCAGACTCGGTTTGTGTTGCTAGTGACGACATCTGTAATTCGTGAAAATATTTTGGTGTAAACTGGATACAAAATATAAAATATTGAGGGGAAAATGAGAAGTCATATTATTTTGTTCAATAATGTATTCTTGTTGTTTGATACGCGTCACAAAGAAGAATCAAGGATAAAAGTGCATTGGAAAAATGTTAAACAATTTTGTTGTAACTTTTTGGGGAAAAAAAAAAGAAAATTAAAGGTTAAATACAAATTAATATTTAAGAATTTTAAGGAAACAAAGGAGAAAAATTGACAAGAAATGTCCTAACCTGGAAATGTGTCATTTTAAGAAAGAGATTATATTGGTGTACTATAAATTAAATGTGTGGTGTTGTATAAACATGATAAATTAAGAAACTTTGTACAACATTGTACTAATTATTCAGTTATTTGTCAGTATAGTGCCTTTTTAACAAAATATATTAGAAATATGTGAGAGACTATCAGTGCTAAATATTTTATAAACTAACTATGAAGTGCAATAATAATGTAGATATTTTTTATGTTTTAAAGTAAAACCAGGGATGGTGAAATAGAAGTATTTACCAGTCAGATTAAAAATAGATTACACTTTGTGTTTCTAATTACAAGGGGAGACAACTACTGCCCTGTATCCTACACGTGGGTGATGCTTGATTGGATAATTCTTATTCTGTCCTCAATCTAACAGAACAGAAGCTTAATATGTCACTTTCAAAATTTCCCCATCTTCGTTATTTTGAATTCTATCTGCGTCTACTTTTTTTTGGTACACGTGGTACGCCTTCTAAACTCTATTCCAACTTGTTTTATCGAACATTCTGTTGATTCCATAAATTTTAAGCATGCTGAGCCCCTAGTATGGATATAATCTGGTAATATTTAACCATCCTGATATAATATTATCCCTGTATATTTCATAATTTAAAATTATAATAAACATCATTTTTTATCATGAAAGTAGTGAAGTGTGAGTCCAATAATTTTCAGGTAAAGATATTTCTGTATATCTGAGGTTCATTCAAATCATAACGCGAGCAATCTTCTATAGTATTAGATAGTATTAGTAGTAATCAACACAATGTATCTTTAGTTTTTAAACTATTTATTGTCTTGGTCTGTGTAAAGATCTTGTGAGAGTTTCTCCAGCCAGCTACAAGCAAACAAGGAGACCAAAAATCTACAGCCGGTCGTTTTCCACTATGTCGAATATGTAATTGAAAGGAAAATGAATCTGATTGGATGATGACGCTCTGTCTTACAGAGAGACAATTATAAAACGTGTATCCTGTCGTGAAGCAATAATCTTGTCGAGAAGCACGGGCACAGGACACATGAGATTTTACTCAAGATTTGCTTTGCAAAATCGGCGGCAAAAAAGTGGATTGTTGAATCAGATGGCCTCAAATATTTTTGACTTGACTTTACAGTCATCCCTTTTCAATCTCTAGTCAGACATGTATGGTGTAAACAAACATATTCAAAACCTTGGAATAAATTTGAAAAATAATTAAAAAAAAACAATTTATTGTTTACCCTGTTCAACAAAATACAACTTTTACTCTAAATTTCATTTGAAATTATAAGCATTTAAACAGACACAATTTCATAGGTAACAACAGTGGCCTAGCCAGGACTTCATTGACACGGCCGTTCCAGCACCTCGATTCCTGTTTCGGACTTTAGTAGAGGGTACGAGTCGTGGTGGGGGGTCAGGGAAATTTTCACCTTAGAAGACGGGAAATGCATCCATTTTGGTAGAATCAATTTTTCATTTTAACCTGCATTTTCAAAACTAACTGTCCTGATGAGGATTGTTTATCTGAAATTCATATTCACTGAACTAAAATATGATCAGAAGCCCTTTCTGGAAATAGCTTCAGTAGTGTCCCTTTTGAACTCCAATATTTGTGGACCACTTATGGATTTATATTTGGTCTGTCCTGATTGAATCAATGTAAGAAAGTAGCCGTGAGATATTCTCTATAAAATTGTGTCCAGTTTATTACTATCTATATATATATATACTTAAATAAACCATAAATATTCTATAATAACTAAACACAAAACAATGAAAGACAATTTAGGATAAACAACAAAGTCATTACAAATCCTTTCTAACAATCATTTACCAGCTTTCATCTCTCATACCTAAAAAAGGACAGATGTGCCATTGTTTTGAACAATCATACTTAAGTCTCAGAAACAGGAATTTTTTAGCTAAGCCAATCAGTAATAGAGTTCACAGCTCACTGTCGAAATGTGAGCCGTCTAATTCACGTGTGTCAAGAATTATAAAAGTTAAATAAGTGGTCGTCTATTCTTGAGACTGCCATATTATAATAGGAGAATAAATTTAATTTTTGAGATATTTTTGAAGGAATTTTGTGATTTTCGTACATTTCTTGTAATTCAGAAGAATATTTACATATATTCTAGTCTCAAATCAACCCCCAAAATAGCACACCTGTCCCTTTAATGACAGATATAACATAAATTTATAACAAGAAATCACAAAATAGAGACACACCACATAAAAGCTCCATTTAATTGACAAGAAACGTGTAAAAAGGCAAATTGAATAAATTTAAATATTACTTTGAATAAATTAAAATAAATTAACATAAATTAAATGCATCTATAAACCAGTAACCAATCTTTTTTAAATACTAAATACATCAATCAATATCACAAAATAAATAGCTGACTCTATACATTCTAACACATTGTTTCACTCTTTCATTGGGTTCCTCAATTTATTTGTTCAAAAAATATTTATTCATAATTCATTCACAGGTAAATTTTACCTCAAAAGGACCTGTAAGGTTTAAATGCAAAATTACAAAACTTGAAAAGATCTTTGACAAGAAGAACGAATGTTGTAAAAAGCTTAAAAAAAAAGCTGAATTAATAAATAGATCTATTGATATCAAAACAACATGAATTATGTAAAAGGTGCAGGGTCTAACTGAAATGTTTGCGTTTAATGGAAATAAATAAAGTGATATAGAAAGCGATTTTATTTTAAAGTTGTATCACTGTCACTGTTGGTTTGACAAGTCTAATTATGTCTTTTAGTTCATTAGACTCCAACTTTACTATGTCAAGCTATTACAAACTTTGTCTTATACCTTGACTGTAATAGCCACTATTGTTGTATCACGGAATGCAGCGATTTGATTGGATTGTACAGCCAATCAGGTCCCTTGACATTTACAAACTTCTATGATACAAGAAAGGTGTCTTTTGCAGTCAAGGTATAAGTAAGCAGTTCGTAACAGCTTGACATTGTGAAGATGGTTCAGTACAAATTTTCATCTTTGAAGTTGTTGGATCAAGATGCCAAAGCTTGGTACTATTATATCTAGTCAATAAAAACCCAAAACAACATTGTGGCGAAACATTGGAAGCAGCTTATGAACTTTTCACATGAGGAAGTATATCAATTATAAATGAGTAAATATTTTATAATTCTAATTAGTTACATTGACATGGCATTATCAAATTTGCTGAATGAGAGCACGACTACAACTAACATCTTTTGAGCAGGGAGAAATACAACAACATTATTAACAAACGATGTCGGATATTGCAATACATGTATATCATTACACCATATCAATGAGCTAATATATCATTACACCATATCAATGAGCTAATATATCATTACACCATATCAATGAGCTAATATATCATTACACCATATCAATGAGCTAATATATCATAACACCATATCAATGAGCTAATATATCATTACACCATATCAATGAGCTAATATATCATAACACCATATCAATGAGCTAATATATCATTACACCATATCAATGAGCTACAGGACTTGAACTTCACACAACTTGAAGCAATCCTTTCAATGTAATATTGTTAAAACACAGGAGACAGTTTCTACAAAGCTTAACTGAAAATTTACCAATGTCTATTCTAATACACTAGCCTTAACTTTAGTGAACACTGCTTTCACCCTGCGCCAGTGCTTGTTACCTTTCAACTACCCTAACCTCTACAATTAGTGAACACTGCTTTTACACAGGGCCAATGCCTTCTGGAGAACAGTAACTTGTTACCTTTCAACCACACTAATCTCTACAATTAGTGAACACTGTTTTAACCCTGGACCAGTACCTTCTGTTAATAGTAACTTGTTACCTTTCAACCACACTAATCTCTACAATTAGTGAACACTGTTTTAACCCTGGACCAGTACCTTCTGTTAAATAGTAACTTGTTACCTTTCAACGACCCTAATCTCTACAATTAGTAAACACTGTTTTAACCCTGGACCAGTACCTTCTGTTAATAGTAACTTGTTACCTTTCAACGACCCTAATCTCTATAATTAGTGAACACTGTTTTAACCCTGGACCAGTACCTTCTGTTAATAGTAACTTGTTACCTTTCAACCACCCTAATCTCTACAATTAGTGAACACTGTTTTAAACCTGTGCCACTACCTTCTGTTAAATAGTAACTTGTTACCTTTCAACGACCCTAATCTCTACAATTAGTGAACACTGTTTTAACCCTGGACCAGTACCTTCTGTTAATAGTAACTTGTTACCTTTCAACGACCCTAATCTCTATAATTAGTGAACACTGTTTTAACCCTGGACCAGTACCTTCTGTTAATAGTAACTTGTTACCTTTCAACGACCCTAATCTCTACAATTAGTGAACACTGTTTTAACCCTGGACCAGTACCTTCTGTTAATAGTAACTTGTTACCTTTCAACGACCCTAATCTCTATAATTAGTGAACACTGTTTTAACCCTGGACCAGTACCTTCTGTTAATAGTAACTTGTTACCTTTCAACCACCCTAATCTCTACAATTAGTGAACACTGTTTTAAACCTGTGCCAGTACCTTCTGTTAAATAGTAACTTGTTACCTTTCAACGACCCTAATCTCTACAATTAGTGAACACTGTTTTAACCCTGGACCAGTACCTTCTGTTAATAGTAACTTGTTACCTTTCAACCACCCTAATCTCTACAATTAGTGAACACTGCTTGCCAGTGCCTTCTGTTGAATAGTAACTTCAACGACCCTAATCTCTACAATTAGTGAACACTGCTTTAACCCTGTGCCAATGCCTTCTGTTAGAGATTGTCATTCAACCACCCTAATTTCTAATATTAACAAAACATGATTAAAAATCTTACGATTACATGTACTTATATGTTTTGTAAAATAAATCCTGATTTTGTTCAATCCAAATGTATACATTTTTCACCCACATATTGTTTTATATTATTTGTTAGTTTGTTACAGGGTTAAATTGTAAACAGGCCTGGCCTAATTTATGTCCTAATAAAGATTATTATTATCATTTTCATTATTATTATCATTATTTTTAGGTTTTAGGAAAAGCTGACCCAGAATTTGATATAAGTTATTTTTCAGGAAAGCTGACGTCTGATTTAGAAATATATTCAGACACAGAATTAGGCCATTTCTATATCTACATGTTAATGAGCACTACACAGTTATAATGATGATGATGATGATGATGATGATGATGAAGATGTGATGATGATGATGATGATGATTATAGCCTTTGAGCAAATGATTAACTAAAGCCATTTAAAGATGGAATTCCACTTAATTTGCACTATTTCATGGAGCTAATCTACTGTCTAGTATAAATCTCAGGGGTTTGGGATTTGGTGGAGATAAATGGGCAGGGAGGGGGATAAGGACTGTCCAAAACTTTCATGATATTTGTGTGATTCACAGTACTGTTACGACAGTAAGAGCTATTTACAAGTTTGCAATTACAATGCCTTGATATTTCATTAAAATTAAATTTTCTACTGGAGTAGAGTCGAGCAATGATATTTGTAGATCAGGAACCATTCTAAACCCAAACAGTCCTTTTTATAGGGATCGATTCGACCAGTCAAACTTTATTCTCAGAGACGCAATTTTTTTTGCTAAGCTAATCTCTTATAACTATCAATTTATACGTGCTGTGCTTTTGTAATATTGTTTTTAATGCAATATTACAACTATTATTCCTTATAATAACAACGGACTGTTTGTGTTTCTGATGGAAATATCTCAAGTTATAAATATCTTTACTTAACTATACCTAGTGGTGAAAAAAATATTCCAACATGTATCCAATATTCCATGTTGGTAGAGTCAAAAAAAACTAGAGCTTGTTGTCAGAAATATCATAATTTACAAATCCCGATTGTTTCACTGTTTACGATTAAGATAAGTTATGATGATGCTGACAACAAGTGCCCCAGTTTTTAGGGTGTGGAAAATTATCGTGACCAATCAAACACATTGTAACTGCTCTACATGTCCTCGGACAATATGACGTAAATGTTTCGCAGAACATTCGCAGAATGCCACTCCTGCTCCGGCTCGGAACTGCTGGATACTCTTCACAATCTCCCAGCTGAAAATAAAAACATAAACAAAAAAATTAATATTTATTTTCAATACAAAGTCACAATATTACAAGAAAGTTGATGAAAAACATTTTACTTTTAGCTGGAAACTTGTATTAAAGGGACAGTTTCGCCATTTCGGGGGGTTGATTTGAGTCTTCAGAAGAACTAGAAATGTATGAAAAAAACATATAATTCCTTTAAAATACTATGAACTTGGAATTTATTTTCTATTTCTATAGATGTCTTTTCTATATATGGTCGAGTCGTCTTTTAATTTTAAACACACATGGATTTGAAGGCTTAATGGTGAAGTGTGAATACTATTTCTGATTGGTTAAGCCAAAAAATCCTGTTTCTGAGACTAAAGTACGATTGGTCAAACGAATGGCACATCTGTCCCTTTAAGCTTCTCAACCTAAAACAATTTGAAGTAAGTCAACCTAATATTAAGTGATATAAAATCACGTGGAGAATCAACAGAACTGATCACTAAAGTTGCTATTTAATTTTCACAGATAGAAATAATATATATTATAATATACAACTGTACAATTAGATAAAAGGAAGAACAATAGCAAAAAGCAATCATACATTTATACAACAATAATTTGAATGGAATAAAAAACAAACATTGAATATTCATGAAATAAAAAGATTTAAAAGAGGTTTTTTTTTAACTTTTTTATGTGTATCAGGGACACTGATAGCATCAATTTACACCTTTCCAATTTTCAATCAGACGTCTGTGGGTCTTGTAATTTCACTATAACTAAGCATTACATAACACAAGCTATCACAATAGCTGTTAATAAATTATTATTAGTGCTGTCATATACAATCAGGTAGGCATGTCTTAAATAAAAAGAACGACAGATATCTAGATGAAACTTAGAAAGATGCAACTAGAAGCTATAATTGTCTCCGATAAACATAAAACTTTAAAAAATCTCCTTAAAACTCTTTGGATCAGACTGAGATATTATTATAATATAAAGCCAGATATTATTTATATCAGATCAATGATTTGTGTATATCTGAGAATGATTACTACTTGTAGAGTTTCAATTATTATTTATCCTTCCTCCAACTATTAAAGAGACAGCTTCACCAATTGACCTCTCAGGAATTTTTAAGCCAAGCCAATCAGTAATAGTGTTCACAGCTCTCAGTCGAAATTAGAGCCTTCAAATCCATGTGTGTGTTCAGAATTATCTTCGTTTGAAAGTTAAAAAGATGACACGTCTTTTCTTGAGACACTGCCATATATAGAAAAGACATCTAATAGGAAAACAATCTACATGTTTGAGGTATATTTGAAGGATTTTCTCGTAGTTCTGAAGACTATTAATGTATATTCCAGACCCAAATTAACCCCACAAAATGGCGAACCTGTCTCTGGTGAACTGGTCACATTTATGTTTTTTAATTGTATTAAGAAGTGATGCATTCTGCCAAAAACATTTTGTTTAATTAACTGATAACAAATATAAAAAGAAAGAATACCAATTGATAATATACAAAACAAACATTCATTGAATCATTCACTGCTCCTAAACTACATACATTTATTACTTTCCAAAACAAAGAACAACCAAAAGGGAGAGGGGTTACATAGCTTGTTCCTCAACCCTTTTCATTATTATGTGAATAAAAATAAAAAAAACAACCAAAAAGCCATTATTCATTTCCCATTAAAAACCTTAAAACATTTAATTTAATAATGATGAACAAAATATAAAAATAAATACAAATACACCATTCATCGAAATTAAAAAGCTGGAATAACCATAGAACTATGATCTGCTTCTAAAGCCAAGATACCTGTCTTGATGGAAATAAGATAGGGTACGATGTAAGACAGGATTATCAATACAGCAGAGAATAACTGAATGTACTTATGTCCATTGTTGTCTTAATCAGCTCTATCGTTATGGTGGGGTCAGTAGGGGCTGGGCCCCAGAAACTGAGAATCAAGTTCCAGCAAAATCAAAAAGATATAGATTTTGATACGATTTTGGCACCCTGAAATTGTCTGAAATGAGTTGGGGCCTTTAATCCTTCAAATTTCTGAGTACAAAATCTGAGCCTCAGCACCAATACATTCCTGGTGACGGGACTGACCCCAGCACCAATTCATTCCTGGTGACGGGCTGCTGCTATTGTTTAAAGTGAATCAATGACTCTTACATAAAGGACACTAGTTGTGGTCTGCAATATTAATTAGAGTTATTTCCCTTAGTTCCGCAGTGTTTTTGTTGGCTGATTTGATTTGGTTTAGATTTGCTAGTACGATTTAGTGCAATTTTGATAAGCAGTAGTCTACAAATGTGAAATTTGAATCCATTACAAAGAAGTAAAGAATAATCGAAGCTCATTATGTCCATATTCTGTCCTTACCCATATCTCGTCTTTTCCCTACTTCTATTTTAAATTGTTTCAATAATCTCACAATGTACACGCAGAAATAAACACATTGATATAATCTTGTCCATGCCCAAATCAAATTCATAAATATACACAATAGTGCTTGTATTAAGCTGAAATGTTCGTACATAAATGTACAGAAATGTAAAAAATAAACCAAGGAGACCAAGGAAGTAAACCAAAGAAACCACGGAAACCAAGCAAATCACGGAAACCACGGAAACCAAGGCAACCACAGAAACCAAGGCAACCATGCAAACCAAGGAAACCACGGAAACCAAGGAAACCAAGGCAACTACGGAAACCACGGAAACCAAGGCAACCACGGAAACCAAGGCAACCAAGGCAACCACGGAAACCAAGGAAACCAAGGCAACCACGGAAACCACGGAAACCAAGGAAACCAAGGCAACCAATAATTGCAACAATCAAAGCTCTAAATAAACTGAATTGTAACAATGACAACGTTTAAAATATGACGTTCAGGTGTACTACTAGAAGCGAGAATATTAGTATACCTGCCCCAGCATTCCCTGTTTTTCCCTCCTCTCGTAAATCGTGAACACGACAACCTAGCTGACAAACCCCAGCTCCAGCTCGACATAAATAAATACTCCGTATATAATGCCACCTTAATTAACAAATAACTTTAATTTTAAAGGCAAACTATTTTTTTAATATTTGATTTACTGACTAATAATATAGGTGAGTTTTTAAACCAAAAAGAAAGTTTGATATTTTATTAACACAAAGTCACAGACTATCTGACTTGAAGATGATATTCCAATTCAAATAAAAACAAACAATAAATGTAATTTCATGTACTAACAAGAAGAAAAGAGACAATAAGATCAAGATAAAGTTGATAGTGAGATTTTTGAGAGACTGAGCTTGATCAGGGTTAGCATTGAGAAGTACAACTTTAATTAAAGTTGATCGTGAGATGTTTTTGAGTAATAGGGTTTGGGTGTCAGAAGTTATAAAAAGAGAAGAAATAAATAGAAATCATACAAACCTGTTGTTGATAGGATCGTAAGCTTCCACAGAATTTAAGTAATTAGAACCATCATGACCCCCCACAGCATAGAGATATCCACCAAGGGTACCTACTCCGACCCCACCCCGACAGGTAGACATGGGAGCCACCAGGGTCCAGGTGTCAGTACTGTAGTCATATTTTTCCATCGATGACAGCGGAGAATTATCATCAAAACCACCTGATAAGAAAAAAACAATTTTCATTTTTAACATTTCTCATAGCATGAAACAGTGAAGTTCCTGACTATATTTCCATTAAATATACCACCACATATTTCTTAAAAACAGTAAGATTTTACATAAGAAACAAAAAACAGAATAAAATGTGCGTTTAATCATCAACGATCAACACAAAGCCAGTTACACCTTGTAAAGCTTTCATTTACAAGAATAACCACTTGGCCAAACCTTTTGGCATTGATCTTTTCTGGATTATCCATACCCACCTACAGCTGGGTCGACTGGAAAAATAAGCAAAGATAAAAGGTTCAAGGTCTTCAGAATCAGACTCTCTCATGTCAACCAATCTTAACTCAAAAATACTGATCAATGACATCATGTAAAGATTTCAATTCTCTAACCATTTGTGCTACAACCCTCTCCTCATAATATACCAAAAAAGAGAAGATCTTACCCACGACAAAAATATTCCCGTCTAAAACAGCAACGCCAGCCCCAGCTCTACGTTCCTTCATATTAGCCAGTGATGTCCATTTATTAACAAACGGGTCATATCGTTCACATTTATCTAACGAGCTGTTTCCATCGTTACCACCCAGAGCATAAATCTGACCCTGGATAAAAATAAAAACAGAACAAATGTAAAGTTTAGATATAAAAAGAGATCTTTTCTGTCAGTTTCTGTTTTAAAGGGACAGGTTTGCCATTTTGGGGGTTGATTTTAGTCTTGAATATATGTAAATAGTCTTCAGAAATACTAGAAATGTACAAAAACTGTATATTTCCTTCAAATATATCTTAAACTAGAAATTTCGTTCACTATTTCTATACATTGCAGAGTCTCCAAAAAAAAAACGAGTTGTCAAGGCTCAAATTTCGACTTTGAGTTGTGGATAGTATTACTGACAGGCTCTTTATTTCATATTTCAAAAAAGAGAACAATTTCTTACGAACCTTTAAAGCAGCAACACCAACGCCCCCTCTCCTCGTGTTCATTGAAGCTACGAACGTCCAGACATCTGAGGCTGGGTCATATCTCTCTACGGAGTTAAAACATGCCGTATCATCCAGCCCTCCTACTGCATAAATTGGTCCACCTAGACCAGCCAGAGCAATACCTCGTCTGAAAATATAATAATTATCAAATAAGATATGTGATGATCTTGTATCTTGTGCTTCTACACTTCATTTCTACATGTCTTATAAACAGTGTATTAGAAACAGTTTGTCATAGCTTCACATTGTGAATTTCATTTTGTGACCAACCTGAGAGTTCCCATGGGAGCGATTTGTTTCCATTGGTTAGTTTTAGGATCGAAAACTTCTCCGCTGTTTAAATGTTCGTTACCGTCATGGCCTCCTACAGCATACAGTAATCCTGAAAATACAAATAAATAATATCTTAACAATCATGGTCGTCTTGTTGAACCATCAGTCAGAAGGAGAAAACTAAAAAGAAATAAACTGGTAATTCTACTATATTACTACGTTAAATAACTCAATTAAAGTGGACTGCAGTGCTTGTGTTTAATCATTTTCACAATGTTATGATATTATGAACTCTGTCTTATACATTGACTGCAATAGCCCCTAGTCTTGTATCAGGGAAGTTTATATAACAGCAATTTGATTGGATTGTATGCTAACAAATAAACCTGATGTTTTCAGCCTTTCTGTCTAGGGCTCTGATTGGCTGTATTCCCTGGCATACAATCCAATAAAATCGCTGCATTCTGTGATACAAGAATAGTGGCTATTACAGTTAATGTATAAGAATGAAGTTCCTAATAACTTGACATTGTGAAGATGGTTTTTAATGTTACCTAGATGCTTTCAAAATCTTTCTTCAACTATATTCAAGTATTGTAGTACGTGCATGTCTATCACTTGCTGTGTATGTGACACATAACAAGTGTCACAATAGGAAGGGACATAACTCTAGTTATGGCATAGCATGTTTCAACTATCCAGAAGTTTGATTTACCGCACAATTTTTTCGGGAACAGAAATGCTCGGATAAACAGGTTCAACTGTATTTCAGAGGTTTCAATCCCTTTTAAAAAAAAAAAAACCAATATTTTAATAAATGTAAATACCATTAGCAGAACAAACTCCAACATGGCGTCGTCTGGTATTCATCTCGGCCACTGGAAACCAGCGGTTCTTTCTAGGATCGTAACATTCGATAGATTTAAACGGGTCACCAGACGACCCACGACCTCCCACACAAAATAAAACACCTACAAAATTAAGCAAACAACTCATCCTAGAATGTAAACAAATATTCTTGCTCTTCTATACACATAATAAAAAAGATTATATATATTTAGTCCAGATGACTAACATGACTATAAAATGCCTTCAATATTTTTGACAAAAATTAATAAACATGAAATAACAAAAAGAGTGCAGACCTGCGTAACTTTTCCGTGGCCTCGTTCGTTGATTGACTTTAAAGTCGGGAACTAGATTAGCCAGTGACATCTGGTAGTATTTAGCTTCATCGAGAAGATCTCGACACTCCAAATTACTTTTCACCATGGGATTACTTTCAACGCTATCTAATAAATAGGTCGGAGACATCAACGGAAACTTGATAGCGGTGAGTAGCGCGGCTAAATGGTCCTTGCGTGTCTTCAAATCCACGTTAATCCATTTCACAACGGATTCGTACACTTGTGATTCGTTGTCCACGTGTAAATCTTGTGAACTCACAGCATGCAATAAGAGTTTAAAACTCATATTTTTAAATTCCTCCGTATCTGTGATCTCGATAAAATGATCGAGGATGTAATCGTCAGCCATTCTCATCAGTTCAACGCGATTATGTTGCTCCGCGAAATTCCTCACATCAATACAATTTGACGAATGTAAATGAGTTTTCATAAAATCACAGCACGCTCCTGCCACTGTTTCAATTTGTAAAATCGATGCCGCAAACAAAATAGGTTGAACATTTTCCACAGTAAGAACTATTTTTGAGGTGTACGCAAACTTGATCAATTTTTCCATCGCACTTTCGTCAATGTCGTGAATTGTCACTGTATCTTGTTTACTCTCCGCCATTTCAGATGTAAACATTGCACGGAAATATAGACTAGAACATGCCAGTACCATTTTATGACATTTAAACGAACGCTTATTAACATTGATTTCTACATCGCATAGATCACCCGATTCGTAAAAATCATACAATGTTTTAAAATTGTCTTTAAACAATGTTTTCATTTCGTAATTAAAAGGTGCGGCTGGTAGATCGTGACTCAGACTGCTGAGATTGAAGGCAGGGTTACCAGGGTTATGTTCTCCTGTTTCTTGAGACATTTTTTTAACACTGTGACAGTTTTTGTGGCCGTGTGAATGAGCACGAATGTGCGAGTGTCCAGATAATCGTGATTTATTATATGCTTCCCAAAACACTCGTGATTTTATGGACGAAAAGGTTTTTTTTCCAGGAACTGGTGGAATAGGGGGAGATTTTGCTGTTGTATTTGGCAAACTATCTGTTCGCTTGGGAGTAGGAGGCGCTCTCGGCATAATAGGCTTTTACAAATCCAGATTAATTCCCGTTCAGTATCTTCGCTTTTCCTCCATCATAATTTCTTCCTTTCTCTCCAACTGAAAATATTTAACAAATAATATGACATTATAAAAGTCAGTTTCTATAGTCTAGGCAGTCCCATTGTTATGGTGAAGTCCACACAGGTTGGGACCCAGCGCCGAGATTGATTAATTTTCAGTGTGTTCGACTGTTCGTACAAAACGATTAATGCAATTAGTGTCATCCAAACACTTAGTTTTATTGGAATTGCTGGAACCTCAGATGTCTGATTGAAAATTGGAATGGTGCAAATTAATTCTATCAGTGCCCCCAATACACATACAAATTTTAGAAAACCTCTTTACAATCCCTTCGAAGATCAGGTAAATCAGGTAAATGTAGATCTATTTCGTCATTTTGCCTCAGACTAAAATTCAATTCATTGATTCAACTTTCAAAGCACGAACAAGGTCAAATATTTCCTAAGAAAAACAAGATCAGACAATTTTTCTTCTTACCACGAAGACTGCACTTTTATTCTTTAGTTTGGCCTCACACCTTTCACGAATTTATTAAGGGCGTCTTTCAAACTGAGTCGAAATGAAAAGAAATGTCAAAATGCCATTTTTGTCTATCTCGCCATCTTTAAGTTAGGGTGAACTTGTTTACCAAAAATAAGTGTTCTTCATCAATTTATAAACTAAATTTTAATCTAAATAACTTTTCTATGAATTTCTAACAGTAATGATTTGGGTAGTACCATGATTTGAATGGTCTTTCGACTGAAATTTGTGGAATTTTGTTCAAATTTGTTACATTGTTCCGGAAAAGAAAATTTAAGAGTAGAATTATTGACATAAAAACGAGTACAACATAAACACTTGAATATCCAGACTCTACAAATCAAATTCGAAGCATTCGGCAACCCCCGGCTTTTTCGTAAAGATGAATCAAACGGTCTACCGTGTCAGGTACGCTTGGGTTCTTCAACAGATTCAGCTTTACGATTACGATTACAATTACGGCCCATCGTACAAAATTCTCCACATAAAATCGTATATATTTCAAAAGGGCATCGAATGAGCTTTCATAAAATACTGCAGTGGCGGCCCCAAGGGAGACATCTATAAACAATACTGCAGTGGTGGCTACAAGGGGGACATCTATAAACAATACTGCAGTGACGGCTACAAGGGGGACATCTATAAACAATACTGCAGTGACGGCTACAAGGGAGGCATCTATAAACAATACTGCAGTGGTGGCTACAAGGGGGACATCTATAAACAATACTGCAGTGACGGCACCAAGGGGGACATCTATAAACAATACTGCAGTGGTGGCTACAAGGGAGGCATCTATAAACAATACTGCAGTGACGGCACCAAGGGGGACAACTATAAACAATACTGCAGTGACTGATACAAGGGGGACATCTATAAACAATACTGCAGTGACGGCTACAAGGGAGGCATCTATAAACAATACTGCAGTGGTGGCTACAAGGGGGACATCTATAAACAATACTGCAGTCTGACTAATAATTATTGTTTAATCAAAAAATTGAATATAACATGACCATGGCAATTCTTAATTCGGCAAATCGAAAGTAGACATCTGTCTGTACTGGAAACGTCTATTTTCATAATTATTCTTCCGCATCCTAATTTCTTCTTATTTCCCCAATAAAATCTTGCGTGCAAAACCAAAAAAAGTATTTTTAAAGGAACTATGAGATTTTGGTTCATTTCTAGCATCTGCCCCTTTAAATAAACGCTTCTAACATCTCTTTATAATAGGACGTTTTAATGCTTTATCTGTTTTTTCATTATCATACATTTTGTACACACATTGACTGCACGA